CCCACAGCATTAGTTTCTTAGGGCCATTGTAGCAAAATATCATGAACCAGGTGCTTAAACAACCCAAACATATTGTCTCTCAGTGTTGGGAAGGCCAGGCCTCCAGAATCAAGGTGTCAGTAGGATTCTTTCTGGAGGCTGTGGGAAAGAATCCATCCCGTGCCACCCTCTTTGCTTCTGAAAATAGCTGCCAACCCAGTCCTTGTCTTGTAGATCTCTGCCTTTGTCCTTGTACAGCATTCTCCCTGTGTGCATGCCTGTGTCCAAGTTTTCTTATAAGGACACCAGTCATATTGAATATTGAATTAGGCCCACCCTAATCTGATGACCTCGTCTTAACTTTGTCTTCAACAACCCTACTTGAAAATAAGGTCACATTCTGAGGTACCTGGGGTTAGGACTGCAACGTATGAATTTAGGGGGAGGGGACACCACTTAGCCCACAACACCCCTGAACTAAACTGCTCCCTGATCCTATGGCTTCAGATCGCTCCACTGCTCACCTGAGCTTCTCCAGGCCACTAGATCCCAGCACAGGCTGGCAGAGGCCCTCTCCTCGGAGGGCTGGGTATGAGGACTCTGCAGTTCCTGTTCAAGCTTCTATTTTATTTATTTATTTTTTTGGTATGGGGATTCAACTCTGGACCTTGCGCTTTCGAGGCCTGTGCCAGAACCACTGAGCTAAATCCCCAGCCCTCAAGCTTCTATTTTAATAGTTCCAACACTTCTCTTTGGTTCCACAGCCCTGGAGATGATGACTACTTCTTGTGGCTGGTATCTCTGACACCTTAGCTCTTACCTTGTATTGGAGGAGGGACTAAAGATAGATCCTGGGGGCTTTGCACTAAGCTACATCCTAAGCACCCTTTTTTCCTGAGGCAGGGTCTTGATATGTAGTCCAGGCTGGCCTTGCACACTCTGTGCAGCCCAGGGTGTCCTCAAACTCACAGTGATCCTCCTGCCTCAGCCTCCCAAGTGCTGGGTTTACAGGCATGGGCCACCACGCCTGGCTGTTCCCTTAACATTTGTCTTTTCACCTTTTCAGTTACCTAGTTATCTTACAGCAATATGCCTAACTATATTTAGTTAATTCTGTATCATAAATTCTCTCTGTTCGAATACCTGGTGTGTTTTCTGACTCCTAACTGAATCCTTTAACACTCCCCAAACCACAGCTCAGGGGCCCCCAGCAGGGCCACATCCCTCTGGGGATCGCTGTGTGGGAACAAGACGGTGCTCTTGAGCATCAGAAAAGCACCCCCCAACTCTGTTCTTCGCTAGGGCCTTGGAAAGCACTCCTGCCCCTTCCAGCCCCGGCTGCACACAACAGCCTTTGGGTCCCAGTTTATCTCTTAAGTATCTGCCAACTTCTGTGCTCAGCCACCTCCAAAACCACATTGTTAGAGAACTTGTGAGACCACCCTGGAACAGGAAGGCTCACCCAACTTGATGAAGAAGCAGGAGGAGGAGGAGGAGGAAGGAGAGGAGGAGGAAGGAAAAAAAAAACACCTCTCAATCTTTAGAATCTCCTACTGCTGTCAGGTAGTTTCTTTACAAATGGCTCACCAAACAGAAGGCTTGTAGGTCCTCCTTGTCGCCAACAAAAAATTGGATGAGAGAACCCAAAAACAGTGCCAAAAGTTTATTTGAAAATGAAGGGTGAAGGGGTAAGGGAAGAACTAGCTGTGCAGAGCAAACTTGGGCCAAAGAGAGAAAAGGATAAAAAGTAAAAATAAAAATGTATCCTTCAACGGCAGACTACCATGATGAGTCAAGATAACAGGCTCCTCCTGGTGCCTGGTCCCCATCATGCCGCCCACGTCTCCTGAGAGCTCGAGAGAAGTTGTACATACGGGTCCTGAGAATCACCTGGCATGGCCCAGGGATCTTGAAAGTGACAGGTCCTGCTTATTTCCCTAGCCAGCTTTGACACCCCCTACCTCCTCTATCACTATCATGTGAAGAGTGAAGCTAAAACCTTGTGCCTCCGTTTGTAATAGCTAAAGCTTGGAAACAGCCCAAATGCCCATCAGCTGAAGACTGGATAAAGAGGTTGTGGTTTTTGTTATAAAATGAAGTACTACTCAGCCATAAAGAATGAGAAACTAGGGCCAGGGATTTAGCTCAGTGGTTTCGCCGCCTGCTGTGCAAGCACAAGGACCCGAGTTCGATCCCTGGTACAAAAAAAAATTAATAATAATGAGAAAATAAAAAATAAAAAAAATTTTTTAAAAAGAATGAGAGGGCCGGGGATTTAGCTCAGTGGTTCCACCACCTGCCTTGCAAGTGCAAGGACCTGAGTTGGATCCCCAGTACCAAAAAAAAAAAAGAATGAGAAACTAGAGTCATTTATAGCTAAATGGATGCACATTGAGGCCATACTCTTAAGTGAAATAAATAGGACACACATGTGTAAATACCAAATAGTTTCTCTGGTATGAGAAACTGAAAATGTAAATAAGGATTAAAATGAATAATTGATAATGTGAAATATGAAGAAAAGGTCTCAAGGGGTAGGGGAAGTGGGAGGGGTAGGGGAAAGCTAAAAAGGGAAAGAAAAAAATATGAGATAAGAAATAAATGGAAACAAAGCCTTTCCAAATAGGGAGGGGTGGGGGCGTTGAAGGGAGGACTGGGGAGTGGGGCAAAAATCAGAAGCAAGATACTCATGTAATGGTACAAGCACCCAATGAGGAATGTGACTGTATTGTATCCCTAAAATGTACCAATAAAAGAATTTAAAAGAAAAAAAAATAAAACCTTGTGCCTAAGACAACTATCCTTCCACACAGGTTGAGAATGACCTAAGTCCCACTATAGGATGCTTTCTTGGGAACCCTAAGCATGCTCTAGGCGTTGGATGAATGCAGACCCATTTCTCAACTCCATCCTTTCTTCTCCTCCCTGAGTCCCATCCCATCCCAACCCTTGCCTGAACTTCAGGAACATGAACTTTTTCTTCCTCTTCCTCTTCCCCTTCCCCCTCCCCTTACTGTTTCCCTTCCCCTTCCTTCCTATTCAGTTCAGGCTGGCCTTGAGCTCACAGTGATCCTCCTGCCTCAGCCTTCCAAGTGCTAGGATTACAGACGTGCACTACCACACTTGGAAGGAAAGGAATACAGATTTTCAAGGATCATAAATCAATTTATCCCACAGCCATTAGAAATTCTTTTGTGTTGTCATTGTGTGTTTGTTTTGGTTTTGCAGTACTGGGATTGAATCCAGAAACACTCTCCCACTGAGTTACAGCCCTGGTCTTTAAATTTCTTTTTTTATTTTGACATACAGTCGCACTAAATTGCCCAGGCTGGCCTTAAATATGTGATCTTCCTGCCTCAGCCTGTGCTTGAATTACAGGCATGCAAGACCATGGCTAGCCATCAGTTCTTTTAAAATGACAAAATATAATGGAAAATTTCAGAGTACATCATGCTACAAAATAAAAATCTCCTCCTCAAAATATAAATTTTAAAAGTCAGGTGTGGTGCACATGCCTGTAATCCCAGCACCAGAGAGGCTGAGGCAGGAGGATTGCTGTAAGTTCAAGGCCAACCTGGGCTACATAGTGAGGTCAAGGCCAGCCTGGAACACATAGCAAGATTCTGTCTCAAAAAACAAAAATAAATAAATACATTTGAAAAAGATGAAAGGAGGAAAAAAACCATTCCAACGTGATCTGAGCAAATAGGTTTTTTTTCTTGTTTTGTGTTTGGTCGTTAAAATTCACAGTTTACTTCTGGGAAAAACAGCACTTGTGATAAAATCCCTAAACACTTTTAAATAAACTTGAATTAAAATTGTTCTGGGAAATCAGTGACCCACCCAGCTGTTGTTGGTGAGAAGCCCAGTGACCTCTGGATGGACACCAGCTCTCTGACAGTTCTCCTTTCCTATAAAATGTCCCTTCCAAGAGGCAGTCTCAGAATTGCCCCGCTGGGGGTCTTTCCTTGGCTTTCGAGATTGCAGCAAGACTTTCCCATGTGCTCGGAGCTAATGGGACAGGAAGGTTTGCTCCAGGAGTGCAGTAAGGGAGGCACAGATTCAGGAAGCCAGTTTTGCTGAGGCCTCATCATCAGGGACCACCAGGACCAGGGAGCTGCAGGTCAACTCCCATCCAGGAGAGAGGGTGCTCAGCTGTGTGCACCCAGGGCATCCACAGAAGCAAGGTCGGCTCTGCAGTGGCTGCTGCTTCTGAGGAGGGATTAGAAGCAGCAGAGATTAACTAGGGATAGGACGCTGTCACCAGGGCAGGGCTTAGTAGTGGGCCTCCCCATGAACAGCTAGGATAACAACTGTCACTGGCTACGATGGCAGCCTCTGCTGAGAGAAACTGAGGCAGGAGGCTTGGTTAAGAGCAAAAGTTCTAGGCCAGCTGCCTGGATGAAATAGAGAGACCCTAAATAAATAAATATAGTGAGGGTTTGACATAAATTTTCTTTGTGTGGCAGAGGGATATGCCAGCTTGGCCTATTAAATCTATTTCTTACTGTGAGCTAAAATTTTCCGGGTTTTTTTTTTTGTTTGTTTTTGAGACAGTCTCACCATGTAGTCAGGCTGGCCTTGAACATGAACTGATCCTCTTGCCTCAGCCTCCCTAATGTTGGGATCACAGACTATGCCACCACGCCCAGCTGTGGGCTAAAATTTTTTAAAAATTAAAAACTGCCAGGCAGAGAGGCAGCACTTGGGAGGCTGAGGCAAGAGGACTGCTGTGAGTTTGAGGCGAACCTGGACTGCATAGTGAGTTCAAGACCAGCCTGAACTACACAGTGAGACATGATGGTGCACGCCTGTAATTCCAGCATCACTCTGGGAGGCTGACGCAGGAGGATCACAAATTTGAGCTCAGCCTGGGAAATTTAGCATTTTAGTGAGACCTTGACTCAAAACAAAAATAAAGAGGGTTGTAGATGTAGCTTGGTGCAAAGGCCATAGGTTCAATCCCCAGTAATGGACACAAGAAGGAAGCCACCATATGAAAACCATTCACCAACCTTTATAATTTGTGGCACACTTAGAAAGAGATTAATTGTTCAGTGCAAATGATATTTGTCTGGCTCACTGGGGCAAATGGATGAAGCGTCTCTGGGTCAGGAGGGGACCGGTTCAGCACCCTGGTTGGCATCTCAGGAGTTCCTGCACCACTTCTGGGCACAACACATTGGAGGCTCCAGCCTAGAGATTCTCAGCAATCACTGTTAGGCAAAAAGAGATATTATGTTACTAGAAACAAGCAGTGTAGGGCCAGGGATTTAGCTCAGTGGTTTCGCTGCCTGCTGTGCAAGCGCAAGGACCTGAGTTCAATCCCCGGTACCAAAAAAAAAAAAAAGAAACAAGCAGTAAGGAGTAGAAGGAGGGGAGAGCTGAGCTGAGACCCGGACCCAGGGGCCTTCTTGCTGTAGGCTTGGTGCAGGACAAACTGCTATGTGCCTCAGTGCGAGTGCTGCCAACAACCAGCCCCTCCACCGCCTGGGAGCAGCCCCAGCAATGTGTTCACATGGTCATATGTTTTTCTAAAACTTGCAAAGAGGTTAGAGATTGTAGCCAGAACCGGTTAAACTTACTATCTCCTGCCCTGTGACTTCCTCTTCATGACATTTCCCCTTCTGTCAAGAGGCCTCAGTGTGGCCTTATTAATGTGCACTCATCATCAGGTATTTGGTTTCTTAAAGAGGGCCTCCAAAATGTATAAGCTTCAGGCCCCACGAAACTTGGATCTGCCTTTACCTCCATGTTTGGCAAAAAAGAAGGGGTGCAAGTGAGTGGGCTGGGCTGGACACTTTCTCCACCTCTACCTTGCCCCCTTTTTTCTTTTTTAGTACAGGGGATTGAACCCAGGGCCTTTGCACTGAGCTACATCCCCAGGTCTTTTAAAAAAATTTTTATTTTGAGTCAGAGTCTTGCTAAATTACTGAGTTGCTGGGCTGGGCTTGAATTTGTGAGCCTCCTGCCTCAGCCTCCCAGAATGCTGAGATTACAGGTACTCACCACCATGCCCAGCTCCAATTTCCCTTTTATGGTTCTCAGAGTAGCCATTAATGCCTAGTCACAGCTAGATGGGTTTTCCCTTTCTTTAAAAAAAATTTTTTTTGAGACAGGGTCTTGCTATATAGTCCAGGCTGTCCTTGAATTCACTATGTAGCCCAAGCTGCCCTCGAACTCAGGGCATTCCTCCTGCCTCAGCCTCTTGAGTGCTGGGATTACAGGCATGCACCACCATGCCCAATTTTCTCTTTCTTTTTAAAGTTGATTATTAATATTTAAAATTGTAGGGCCAGGGATGTAGCTCAGGGGCTCAGCACCTACCTGGCAAGTGTGAAGACCTGAGTTTGATTCCCAGTACCAAAGGAAAAAAAAAAATTAAAATTGTAAATCTGGGCATGATGGCACACACCTGTAATCCCAGCACTGAGGCAAACTGCTATGAGTTTGGAGCAGGCCAGCCTGGGCTATATAGTGAGTTCAAGGCCAGCTTGTACTACAAAGTGAGACTCTGTCTCAATAACAACAACAACAAAAAAGTTGTAAACCAAGAAATCATAAGCAAGGTTAAAACAAAGCAAAGACAGTTTTATGCAGGTGGAAAATAGATTTGCAAATTGAGAAACATGACTCAGTTAGATGGAACTAGATTTCTGACAAAGGAAACCAGGGTTGGGCTTCTATCAATCTCAGCTGTTGGAAATTGATACAATAAGGATAGTCATGAACTGCGAATGCCCAGTGGGGCGTCTAGGTCAAGAAACAAAATGGTCACTTGAGGAATTTCTCACACTTTCCAAGGTATTGTTAGATTCTGGAAAGTTACTCCCTCTGGGTGACAAGATGCGTGTGGGGACCTTCCTTCTGTCAGTATATCTCTGAGGCACAGGAAAGGATCTTTGTGCTTCTAAACCAACAAAAACATTCTGCAGCCATTTCAACTTTGGTCAAAGCGCACACAGCAAAAACTCAAACTGCATAAAAGACTATACAAGCCCTAAGTGGTGGCATGTGCCTGGAATCCCAGCACTTTGTAGGTTTGAGGCCAGGGGGATGGCAAGTTTGACCCCAGCTGGGCAATTTAGCTACACCATCTCAAAAAAAAAAAGTAGCCAGCCATGGTGGCGCAGGCCTGTAATCCCAGCGCTTGGGAGGCTGAGGTAGGAGGGTCACCGTGAGTTTGAACCCAGGCTGGGTTACATAGTGAGTTCAAGGCCAGCCTGAACTACACAGTGAGACCCTGTCTCAAAAAATAAAACAAAGTAAAAAATAGTATAGGGGATGTAGCTCACTGCGAAGGTTCTGAGTTCAATTCCCAGTACGACCAAAAAACAAACAAAAACTATACAATGTCCCTGAGTCACCAGCCCACCCCAAGTATAAAGAACCATTCCTGAAAAGGGTAATGCCACATAAAATTTCTGGTGGATCTTTCCAGAAATTTTACATCTACATTCTACACAAACAGAGGTATATTTATACATCATTCTGTATTTAATAGATCTTGTTTTTTGTTTTTGTTTTTTTGGTACCGGGGATCGAACTTGGGTCCTTAGCTTTTGAGGCAGGTGGTGGAACCACTGAGCTAAATCCCCGGCCCTTGTATTTAATAAATCTTGACAATTCATATTTGAAATGGTACTCGAAGGGCAGGCAGATCAAGGAAGAGAGTGGCACTCAGAGAATTGAAGGGAAGGCAGGTTTATGATCACTACTGGGCACAGCAGAATCACCTTCCAGAGTTTGAGCCCTGCTTCTAAGTTTGTTTTCATATTTGTCTGTTCTTTAGCCAGGCGGGGGTGCAAGCAGAAATTTACAGAAGCAGAACTTAGCAAAGGGTAGGGAGGTGGAGATAATGTTTTTTAATTTTTCTTAGTTTATCTTTAAGACATAGGGAAATAGGGAGGAACAGGCAGGTGTTGCTTCAGCAGTTCATCTTTTGGGCACAGTGACCTTCATGGGTTTAGCAGGAGAGGCCAGCCTTAGACTGTCAACCTTGAGACTCATCAGCCTTGAGACTGTTAGTCTCTGTCCAGCTTTGAGACTATTAGTCTCTGCTTTGTCCTTTATTTTTTTCCATTTCAATATCAGCACATAATTTGACTTAATTTTTTTTTTTTGGTAGCGGGGATCAAACTCAGGACCTTGCGCTTTTGAGGCAGGTGGCGGAACCATGACTTAATTTTTTTTAATGTAACATAGACTGCTTGTGCCAAAGTTAATTTAACCACTGAGTGGGGGTAGATTTCACTGTGATCACCTTTTTTTTCTTTTTTTGGTACCGGGGATCAAACTTGGGTCCTTGCGCTTGTGCAGCAGGCAATGAAACCACTGAGCTAAATCCCTGGCCCTGTGATCACCTTTTTTATTATTATTATCTATATTTGTTACCTCTTGAAGCATAATGTGACCTGGGCACTCCATTTCCATTCACAGGCCTTGTTCCAAATTATTTTTCAAACAGCTTTGCAGTATATCTAGGAAGTTTAATTAATTCCTCTAAACAATACTTTTCTTTGGAAAACAAGCCCCATGGCGTTTCTGTCACCAAGTTGTTTCAGTTTAACTTATTTCTAGAAGTCTAATACATGCAGAATTGAAACTACAGGGGGGAAAGTTTTTAACAAATAGATCCTACAAGATGAAAACTCAAGCTATTGTAACAAATATTCCTTTAAAGACTAAGATATCTCAACACTTCAGAGACAGAAGATTTGGTCTACTAAGGAATCCGCCTTGATAACGACACACTTTAGACTTCATAAAGTTAACAGTAAGTTACATGTCTTACTACAAATATCTCAACCTATTAAAACAAACCAAGGTCGGGCCGGGGATTTAGCTCAGTGGTTTCGCCGCCTGCTGCCCAAGCACAAGGACCAGAGTTCGATCCCCGGTACCAAAAAATAATAATAATAATAAAACAAACCAAGGTCAAAAAGCATTGGTAGCTGTACTTTAGTGCCTAAAGTATCACAGTATCACATAAAAGTAGAAAGAAATCTTATCTATTCCTTAAGCAGTTATCATGCCATACAGACTTCAATGTTAACAAAAAAATCCTTGGAAATATACTATCAGCGAGAATGAAGGTAAAGTACTGAGCACGCATCAGAGTTGTTCTTCGGACAGAGTTTAGTCGACTTCTTCCATGCGTGACATGTCGTCATCTCCGTCGAGGGGCAGCATCTCTTCAGTGACAGCAGCAGTGGTTTTGTCATCGGTGGGGTCATCCTCATCAATACTGAGATCCAGCTTGATCATCCTGTAAATCCTATTCACGTGTGTCTGGGGTCCTCCAGACTGAAGCCAGAGTACAGGAGCGCAGTTTCATAAAGCAAGATGGCCAGATCCTTTACAGACTTGTCGTTCTTGTCAGCCTCGGCCTTCTGCCTCAGGGTCTCCATGATGGAGTGGTCAGGGTTGATTTCCAGGTGCTTCTTTGCTGCCATATAACCTATCATTGAGATGTCTCTTAGGGCTTGGACTTTCATGATTCTCTCCATGTTTGCCGTCCAGCCATATATATGTGCTTGTGACAATACAGGATGGGATCGACTGTGACCATCCTTAATTCACTGCAAGGCCCAACATGATCTTGCGAAGGACTTCATCATAATACAGTATATTCCAGGGCAGCAGTTTTTCTTTCATCACGGAGGAGGAAATCTTCCTCAAAAGCTAAGTCAGGCAGGTGGATGGAGAGGTTGGGTGCCACTCGTCAGGAAATTAAACTCTGATCCCTTAAGATTAAATACGTGGGGGGCCGGGGATTTAGCTCAGTGGTTCCGGCGCCTGCAAGGTCCTGATTTCGATCCCCGGTACCAAAAAAAAAAAAAAAAAAAAAAAAAAGATTAAATACCTGGGAGAATAGGGGACTAAGGACCCCCGCCAATCTCCCTCAAAGATTCAGTTCGGGGGTGGAGCGAGCTTAGATAACAGTTGTAGTGCGGGCGCCAGATGCTGAATCACGAGCTGAAAAGAGTCAGCCTTGCTTTGAAAATATATCTGGCTACGGGTCCCGCACTTCGCCTAGTATCATTCAGTTTTTCCAAATCTTGTTTGAATCTTCCAGGCAACCCAGCAGGGCGGGCTGGACTGCCAAGCCCTAACATCTTAGAGGAAGCAGCGCCACCGCCAGGCCAGCTGAGGTGGAGACGGCTTAGGTGGGCGCCCACCCTATAGCGACAGGGAAGGCGGAGGATGGGTGGGGGGTGCCCGGCTCAGCCTCCGCTCCTCACACAAGTTTTCGCAGCCCACCTGGAGGATCTGGGTTTAAAGGGGTGGCAGTTTGTTCTCACTCGGCCATCCACTGCGCCTTGGAAAGGACTGGGTCTTTCTCTCATGTATACGGCCCGCACTGACTACCCAAGACTGGGGGCAGAGCCATACACAGGTGTTCCTCCCTTACGCAAGAAAAAGTACCAGGTGAATGAAGGGTTTCTTTAAATGGTTGTTCAGCACTTCACACACCAAGTTCAGGTTAAAGTCTGTTGGAGTGCGCTTGATTAGCATGCATTTGGGGCCTTTAGGATTAACGCGGGTGTGAAGAGCTGTTTATTTCGGCCTGAGGAGGCGGGGTAGGGTGTCAAACTCGACCTACGGTCTGGAAGACTACAAGTTCCAGAATGCATCTCCCCCCCACCCCCGGGTAGGGAGAGGCCGAGGTTGTGGGAACTAGGCCTGCTGAGAATTGTAGTCTTCAATCTGTTTGTGATGCAGGATGAACTAGGAGGAGGGAGAGGGAGTAAACTATTATCACGTGATACTCGGGATCAAGTGATTGGCCCAGCCTCCATACCGGAGTTATGATTGGCTAGCCGAAAAAAGAACGACGCCACTAGAGGCGGGCTGAAGAGGAGCGCAGGCGCACTGTGTTGCGAGTCTCGGGACCTCTTTCGGAGAGACCATGGCGCTCAACAAGAATCATTCGGAGGGCGGCGGAGTGATCGTCAACAACACGGAGAGGTGAAAACACTGCGGAAGGATCTTGGAGAACCGAAGTGGGGGGTGTTCAGTGTTTGGGTAGTGGGCTGTGGGCGGTGGGCGGTGGGGAATAAACCTTGAAGAAGGCAGCAGGTAGAGCGCGAGTGGGTGGGAGTAACGGCCGGGCGGGGCTGGAGGGAGGTGGGTGGACCGTGGGGGGGGGCGGAGATGCCGCGATCAGCTAGGGGATAGGGCTGTCGGGTGGCTGGATGGGGCCGGGAATTTGGGCAGGTGGAGCCTGGGTCTCATGCTTAAACCCGTTCCTAGACTTGGTGACTTTAAGGGCTGGGAGGGGACTTCTACAAAAATAATTGCCATTTATTGGGCGTTTACTATCTTGTTACTACCTGGCAGCCGCTGCGACTCTTCCACCTTATTTAATACATAAATCTTGTGTGACAAATTATTACATTTCCGGGTAGGGGATGTGAGGCCCAGTGAGGCTAAGTAGATCACGAAGACGTGAATTCCAGGAAAGGAGACTTGATCCCAAAGTCAGTAAGTTTAGCCACCAGTACACAGCCTTCCAGTAGATTCCAGAACCTCTCCTATTCCAAGTGAAAAACAGGGCCCAGAAATAAAATTAAATAGGTAACATTTGTCACCTCCCTAAGGTAATTCCTGGGAAGAGTATGGGTCTTTTATAAAGGTTAGTCTCGCTGTTTTCCTTTTCTTTTTGTTTTTTGAGCAAGGTCTTGCTATGAGGCTGGCCTTGAACTGGAAGCAGTCCTCCTGCCTCAGCAATCCTGCCACTGCCTCCTGACTGCTAGGATTACAGGCGGGCACCACTACCCCCTGCTTGCCTTTTTCTCTTGAATACTTGTTTAAACTTCTTGGGCTGGGGATTTAGCTCAGTGGTTCTCTCACCTGCCCCGAAAGTGCAAGGACCCTAGTTCAATCCCTAGTACCAAAAAAAAAAAAGTTCTTTCTGTTCCATCCTCCCCACCCCCTGGCCATTGCATTGTGTCTGTCCCCTGACCTCTAACCTCTGTGCTGCTTGGACCCTTCTCTTCTTGGGCATTGAGAATCTAACCAGCCAACTCTGGTTGAGCTATGCTCACCCTAAATTGCTTCTTGAAGGCAGAGGGCCTTAGAAGGAACCTGAATCCTCAAAGACATACATGATGAAGTCAAGAGTTAGGCCTAGTTGAGGCCGACGCCCAGCCTGCGTCCTGTCACCTGGGAGTGCTTGAGTTGGAGGAAAAGGAAGGCGGAAGGTGATCCAGGCCTCAGAATGCTGTCTGCATCTCAGCCTGATGGGCCCAGCCTGTTCATGATAGTCATTTCTTTCCTCTGCGCTGCCTTTTATTGGGCTGCTTCTCTTTTTCATCCTGCGGAGTCAAGAAAGTTGTGGTATTTGAGAGGGGAGGAGGACAGTGAATAGAACAAAGTGCATTGGACTTTTTTTTAATCATGTACTCAGAGAAATGTCACATTGCTCACTGGTTTGTTGCATCTCTGAGTGAGAGCCAGTTCCTGGGCCTGGGGAAATGCTTTTGGTGCCATTTGGTACAATCTCTTGGGACTTTTTCTTTTTCTCCTAGACTTTTCTGGGACAAGAATCTTATCTTTCCTGCTGGGCCTCCTATCTGGCTCAGGGCTCGGTGCTGTTAAATAAAAGTCTCCCTTGTTTTAAAAAATGCTTCAAGGGGTCGGGGATTTAGCTCAGTGGTTCCGGTGCCTGCCTCGAAAGCTCAAGGTCACGAGTTCAATCCCTGGCACCAAAAATAAATAAATAAATTCAAAATGTATCAAAAAACTACTGAGTCACAATTATAAAATACTATTTAGCCATCCCTCTAGTCTGCTGGGAGGGGGCGCTTCCCAGGTTAACAGTTTGGCCAGGGATTTGGCTCAGTGGTTTCACTGCCTGTGGTGCAAACGCAAGGAACCAAGTTCGATCCCCAGTAGCAAAAAAAAAAAAAATGCTTCAGCTGGAGTGTGGTGGCACACGCCTGTGATCCCAGCTCTCAAGAGGCTGAGGGAGGAGGATTGCCAGGAGTTCGAAGCCAGCCTGAACTACAGTGCAACCCTGTCTCAAAAACCTAAAAAAAAAAAAAGTAAAAAGAAAAACTGCTTCAGCCTCATTTCTCAAAAAACTTGTGTTCATAATAACAAAATTTTAAGTTCAGGGTTTAAACTTTGATATTTAAAATAATAATGTCCACCGCCTACCTTGCAAGCGCAAGGTCCCAAGTTCAATCCCTGGTACCCCCCCCAAAAAAAAGCTGAAAAAAAATTAGGTAATAAAATAAGAATGTTAGCCAGGCATGGTAGTACACTTCTGTAATCCCAATACTTTGGGAGGCTGAAGCAGGAAGATCTCAAATTTATGCCCAGCCTGGACAGCTTAGTGACTTAATGAGACCTGGTCTCAAAAATTAAAAAGGCTGGGTAAAGACCTTAGGTTCAATCGTCAGTAAGAAAGAAAAAGAGAAAGGGGGTGGTGAAATAAAAAAAGGAAAGCAGGAAAATAGAAGTGTGACTGGGTGTGGTGACTTGTGACTGTAATCCTAGACGCTTAGGAGGCCGGGCAGTAGGATCACGAATTTGAGGCAAGCTTGGGCAACTTGGTGAGACAGTCTTGAACTAGAAAGTACTGGTGATGTAGGGTTGTAGCTCTGGACTCCCTGATTCAGTCCCCTATACTGGGCTGGGAGGGGTAGAAGAGAGAACCCAAGTAATCTAAATTACCAAGGGACGAGGGCATCTCTGAGAGCCCTGCAGTTATGCTGGAGTGCTAGTGACTTGGAGCCCAGGTAAATGTCTCTGAGCAAATTCTGTAGACCTCAGCCTGCTGGTCTCTCCCATGACTGTACTAATGCTTTCCTCCCAGCTCTGTTGAGACCGAGTGCTGAGCAACCTTTCTCACTGCCCAAGGGTGACAGACAACATCTCCAATTGTCTCATCAGGCCCTTTCCCCTTTTCTCGTTTCAGCATCCTCATGTCCTATGATCATGTGGAACTTGCATTCAGTGACATGAGGAATGTGCCAGAAGCCTTCAAAGGGACCAAGAAAGGTACCGCGTACCTTACCCCTTACCGGGTGAGTTGCCCAGCGTGAGTTGCGCTGGAGGGTCACATGTCTCTCGGCTTCAGCCTTGTGTGTCTGGTGGCCTCTGAACCCTGGTGAATGTTAGTACCTTGCTCCTCCTATTTGTCTGTCACATGCTCTTCAATTCTAGAACCACTGTGCTCTTTGTGCAGCCAAACTGACTGCCGCACAGTGAATCTATGCAAATTTCAGCGGTGTTTCCACAAATCTCTATAGAGTTGGATGCAGCTGCCAGGATGGCTTTGGCCTGGAGTATCCTGGGAGGCCTGTGCGGATATCCAGAGTGATAAATGTGCTAAAAACAGGATATAATGGCTTGACCATGGCCTCCAAACTGGGCAGAGTGCCCGGCAGAACCCCGCAGGGCAAGAAATGCCAGACTGCAGCATGGGCCTTGCCCATGAGCTGGCCACATAGACTAAGAAAGCAGTGTGAATGGAGTCTCAGAAAAGGGTCACTCCTATAGCTACCCACTGGTGAGACCTGCCTGTGACTGCAGGGAGAGGAGCACATCTTCCTGTTTCAGTCACTGTGATGAGCAGGTACAGTGACTCTCAGTCCCCCATCTCTGGGGACTCAGGTTCCCATAGTTAGATTGAGTCTACCCTGTGGTTTTGAAACCCCTGGGGTTGTGCAGCACACGAGGCAGAGTGTCGTCTGCAGGAAGGTCATGATGGCCACAGTGGCTGAGGCCCCACCATCGTTCTCAGCAAGGCTCATGCCAAGCCTGCCCCTCCTGGAGCCCTGCCCAGCCTGCCCCCACCTCCCTCGACTTATGAACAGCTGAGGTGCGAACTTTCACAGATGTACTGTGTAAGACTCACTGTGGGTTGACAGACAAAGCCGGAACAGAGCACATTCGTATGTCCGGCACTTACTGTATTGTAGGCCCCTTCGTGGTGCCCCACACCTGCCTCCTCCTCCGCCTCCTCCTCCACCTCTTCAGTGACAGCAGTCTGTCCTGCTCACTGTCTGTGATCGGCACTTTCCTGTCCATTCCTGAGGGCCTGCATAGGCTGCACTGAGACCTCTTTTTTATAGAGCTCTCTCTGGGAAGCTCTGGTGCAGAGGGCCTCTGGGCCTGGCACGGGCTGCCCACCTCAGCATGGCACTCAGAAAATGGGTGGGCAGAGATAGCCCAGTGGGCTGTGGTTCAGGTGCAGATGGCCCTTGTCCTCTCCCCACAGGTCATCTTTCTGTCCAGGGGGAAGGATGCCATGCAGTCCTTCATGATGCCATTTTATCTGATGAAAGAGTGTGAGATCAAGCAGCCTGTGTTTGGTGCAAACTATATCAAGGGAACTGTGAAGGCTGAAGCAGGAGGTAGGTAACAAGGGAGCCCAGGAACACAAATGGGTCTCTAAGGCGGTGCTCTGGATGCTTCTGCCTGCCACCTTGGCGTCACCTTTGGACACTCACTGCCCCAGCTTTGTCCCTTTCCCAGCCCTGTGTTATCTTCACGAAGAACGCCTGGAGCTGGGTATGGTAGCTCACATCTGTAATACCCTCACTGAGGGAGGGTAACACAGAAGGATCACAAGTTTGAGTCTCTCCTGGGCAACTTGGCAAGACCCTATTTTTTTTTTTTCTTTTGTACGGGCAGTAGAACTTGTGACCTTGTGCTTGCGAGGCTGGCAGCGGCACCACTGAGCTAAATCCCCAGCCAACCCTATCTTAAAAAGTTAAAAAAAAAATTTAAAAGGGCTGGGGATGTGGCTCAGTGGTAGAGGGCCTATAAGTTAAAATCCCCAATACCACAAGAAAACAAAAGCCAAGAACTAAAAAAACAACATCTAGAGCTGGACAAAGGGGCACAACTCTATAATTCTAGTTAATTGGGAGGCTGAGACAGAAGGATTGCAAGTTTGAGGCCAGGCTAGGCAACTTAACAAGACCCTCTCTCAGAAATAAAAGGCTGGGGATGTAGCTCAGTGGTAGAGCTCATGCCTAACGTGTGAACCCCTGAGTTCAGTCCCTGTACTGCAGGAAAAAGGACGACTTGGACAGCCAGCAGCATTGAACACACGTGGGTTTTGGTTGCCAAGAGCTGAGAAATGCTGGGATTAATCCTGGTAGTTCAGTCACCTCTTGAGGTGAAGTCAGTGGAATGACTGAAAACTAATTCTTATTGTGCACTGGGCAGTATGCACAAGTTTTAGATGCGTGGAGGAGCTGTGTCCTATTTCCAGGAAGAGGCAGCTGCCCCTGGGGAGATTGGACAGGCCCTGTTCTGTGACCTGCACCTTTGCAGACACTGGAAGCCCCTGTGACAACTCTGGCCCTGCATACCCAGTCAGGCCCAAGCTTGCTATTGCGGGGCTCTTGATTCCCCTTAGGGGTGAAGCCAAGCTGGAGTAGGCAGGGTCTGTCCTCGCCCCCGTCAGGACGAGAGGTCTGCTTTGAACTTGAAATATTAGTGTGCTTGCTCCCAGGAAGCTGCTAAGTGCTTTATTGGGGTTGAAGAGAACCTTGCTCAATGTTAGCTGTAAAGCCAAACCATGTGGCCCTTGTGCCCGGGCACTTTCTGAACTGGGGTTGGGAGGATAAACTTGTTCCAAGGAGAAGCTGCTGTTCCAAAGGGTGACGCTGCACAGCAAGAGCCAGGCCAGTCTGCCGCACCAGGTGGTCTGTGAGCGACAGGCCCAAGAAACAGCCATGGGAAGAAGGGTGAAGGCCCAACCTTTTCCTCCTGGTCTCCAGGCAATGGGATGGGGGTGCTGGGGAGGACAGGAGCCATCACTGTGGACATAACTTGTTTTCTTTTCCTATGCTGTTCCCTCACTGTCCTCGCCCCTTCTCAGGGGGCTGGGAAGGCTCCGCTTCCTACAAGTTGACCTTCACAGCAGGGGGTGCCATTGAGTTTGGACAACGGATGCTCCAGGTGGCATCACAAGGTATCCAGGCTCTAAACATTAGGGGCCAAGGGCACACTGAATGTGTGTGGGGTTTTTTGTTGGGGTTTTTTTTTTTTGGTACCGGGGATTGAACTTCGGTCCTTGTGGTTTCGAGGCAGGCGGCGGAACCACTGAGCTAAATCCCCGGCCCTGTGTGGGGTTTTTGTTTGACCTTGTTTCCTTTGATTTTGTTTGATAAGCACCAAGAGATAAGTATCTGGGTCGAGCGGGCCGGGGCTGGGAGATGGGGAGAAAGCTGTGATTCTCATCCACTCTTACACCACAGAGCCTGGGCTTCCTCTGCCTTGAGCGGGTCTACAAAAACCTGACAAAGCTGTTTGGACTTGACATTTTACTATGGCATCCTAAAAACAAAAAACCCAGCCACTAAACTACATTAGGCGACCATTGTAAACTCCCAAGTGCTGCACCCCCACCTGGCTCAGCCCTGCCGTTCACCTCCCCTCTCCTGGCCAACTCTGCCCTCTGTCCCCATCCTGCCATCCCCAGACCCAAGTGCGAGTAGGGAGTGGAATGGTGGGAGGGCACATTGATGGGGCATAGTCCTGGGACCCAGCAGCTCCCCTGGGTATTCTGCCGGGCCACCCTCCCCAAGCCTCAAGGCAAGTGACACTCAGAGCATCTCTCTCTCCCCTTGTACTTATAGCCTCCAGAGGTGAAGCCCCCAATGGAGCCTATGGGTACCCTTACATGCCCAGCGGGGCCTATGTCTTTCCCCCACCAGTCGCCAATGGAATGTACCCCTGCCCTCCTGGCTACCCCTATCCACCGCCCCCACCTGGTGAGTGTGTCCTTTGCTGCCCACCCTCTACCCCACCCGCTAACTGCCCCTTCCAGGCAGGGGATGCAAAGGGAAGATGTGTTCTTTCACCACTTCAGGAACAACAGCTGCTGTAGAGGCTTGGAAGGGGCCCCCCAGGAGCTAGATGGGGCAGCTTCTGGGAGGTGGCCTTTTCAGGGGACGAGGCCTGCTGCTCACTGGGTCCCTGTCACTCTTGTGGAGCAGAGTTCTATCCAGGACCTCCCATGATGGATGGAGCCATGGGGTACGTGCAGCCCCCGCCACCACCCTATCCTGGACCCATGGAGCCTCCAGTCAGCGCCCCTGATGTCCCTTCTACTCCTGCAGGTGAGGCCCCTGGGCCACTGGAGCCCCACGTGATGGACCCCTGGCCTAGAGATCACCCCAAGGGACCACCAGGGTGGTGGCCTAGTGGCAGAGTGCGTCTGTCCCTATGCTAGTATGTGGCCTCCCTGGTATGCCTCAGTATTCTCATCTCTGAACGGATGGTCACAGGACCACCTGGTGGCTTGTGAGATGGGGTAAGACATGAAAAGGGACTGGAAAGGACAGTGCCACCACCCAGCCGGTGCTCAGGAAGCTGCTGCTTTTGCTGATGGCCTGGGTCATCAGTCATGGGGACTGGGGCTCAGTGGGCTAGATGGAGGAAGGCTTCTGACTCCTGCCATGTGTTTGCTCCTGTAGCCGAAGCCAAGGCTGCAGAAGCAGCTGCCAGCGCCTATTACAATCCGGGCAACCCTCACAACGTCTACATGCCCACGGTGAGTGGGGAGTGGCCACCCCTCAGCCACACGAGCTAGGAGTCGGGAAACCTCAGCCCGTTCTGGACCTTCTAACTTGCCCTTTCCTCCGTTCTTTAGAGCCAGCCTCCGCCACCTCCCTACTACCCTCCAGAAGATAAGAAGACCCAGTAGACTTCGCCCACCTTCCTGCCTGCCCCATCCTCATGGCTTTCCTACCCCTCCCCATGGGGCTGGCTGCATCTGTGCTGGGAGGTCAGGGAGGACCTTGTTCTTCCCTGGGGCTGATGATAAACAGTAGCCAAGAACTAGCTTTTTGGGGAAGGGTGGGCCCCCAGCCTCTGGAGAGGCGCCCCAGCTCCCCAGGCCAGGTCTGCCACGCCTTCCTCTCACCATCTCTGGGGCTCTCCTCAGGAGCATGGAGTGTCCTGTGGTTCCTGTTGCACACTGCTTCCCACGGAGGGACTCTGGCCACCTCCTACACCACAGTCCAGCCCCCACAGTCTGGTAGCAATTCTCCACTCAGCCTCGTGAGCTTCATGAGACCAGCCATGTGGCTTTCCCGCCTGTCTCGCCAGCACTCACGTTCCTCCCACTGGTCTGTGCCCGCCCTGAAGGGCCACTGTCCTGACAGACTGTCAGCACACATTCCATTCTGCCAGGCCCGGCCCCCAGTCACGTCCACCCTCCCTAACCTGTCCTGGGATATTCTGTTGCTGCCTCTGACTTCAGGGGCTTTACCATGGTCCAGGGGGTAGGGTGGCATCAGGGACAAGACCCCCCCAGTCACGGAGCCCCTCTGCTCTCTGCTAGCGATTCTGGAATTTGGTTTCCTGCTTATCTCCTCTCCATCTACAAGAGGCTTCTTGTGAGGAGCCATGGAGTGCACGTCTGTCCCGTCATGCTGCTAGGGGCTGTCGGGTGGGCTGAGAGCCTGGGCCCCGCCCCGTGTGCTGACCAGGCCCAGGCCTCTCAGCCTGCCCTCCCTAGATGCAGGACCTTCAGCCTCCCCTGTGCCCACAGGCACAAAGATTTGCTCTCGACTGTTTCTGGACTGACCACAAAGTGAAGAGATGGATATTTAAAGAGAATTCCCTATTTATTTGACCAAAAAAAATTAGTTAATATATTAATGTGAAATAAACCCTGTTTGCACCTTGATTTGTTTGCTAAAACTGTGAACTAGTAAAAATGAAGTATCAACTATCTTTCTGCCTGTGTGTGGTGATCAGCGTGAGCCGTTAGAGCTGCCAGGCCTGGAAGGCACGCGTGGAGGCTTGTTCCCTCGCAGCACATTTGTTCCCCATCCTACCCACAGAGGCCCAGCACCTGGCTGGAGGCAGGCCCAGGCCCGAGTCCCAGCCTGCTACCCGCACCTCGTCCCCTGCTGGTTGCGCTGGCTCTAGGCACAGGCTGGAAGTCTGAGGGAGGTGGCTTAGGCCCCCTGTAAGAGGACCACCCCTTGGCAGCCCAGCTGGGACCTCAGTGCTGGGTGGGCCACTGGTGTGTGCCCTCCTGCCAGCCTGCCCTCTTTCTTGGGGCTTAGGGGAGGGTGGGAAACCACCAGACCCCACGGGCAGGTTGGCGCCCCACCCCAGGCACAGGTAAGCAGGTCAAGGAGCGCCGGGAAAACTCAGTGCTGCAGTGTCCATTTTCCTGTCCTTTGGGCACTCTCGGCCTCGGAGAGATTGATGATGTAGCCTCTCCTGCCTCTCAGACCTGCCCAGGAGCTCCCATGGTTTAGCTGATCCCCCACACTAGTGTTTGAAGGAGCACTCTCCTGGGGCAGGGGCCACAGGGCTGTCCCCCCCCCCCAGCTCCATCCGGTCACCTCCATGGAATGTCACCTGTAGGGTGGAGCAGGCTGAGCAGTTGGCTGCCAGCTGCTGGCTAGGAAACGCCTCTCAGGAATCCTCATCTGACCCTGCCCCACCCTGCGCAGGCCTGGGGACCATTGGAGAAGCCCTGCAAGAGAGCTCCACAGGCCCAGGTCAGCTTCCTGGGTGCAGGGTGTGGACAGGGCAGGGCACTGCTGTGCCTACCGGGAACACTAGCCCTTCTCTGGTCCTCTGTGGGAGTAGGAGTTGGGTGGGGCTCACCCACTCACAGGGTCCACTTTCAGCTCCAGTCTGGGGAGGATCCTGGAAAGGGCAGGGCATTTTCGAGGCAGCTCCTTCAAGGCGGTGACACCCTGACCCTTCCATCCCCCATCCCCCTCCCTCCACCCTCTGCCAGCAGAGGGTGGCAGTCTCAGGGCTCTTTGCATCATCCTGTGGCTTCTCTATCTTCACTCCATTGCAGCAGGGGCTCAGAGGGAAGGGCAGAAGTGGCCACCATGGCCACCCGCCTCTCTTGCCCTCAGAGGCGCCCTCCTCTCTTGCGCCAGGCCATCAAGATAAGGCGACGCAAGGTTCAGGACCTGCCGGATCCCCTGGCCCAAATGACTCAGGAGGTAGGAGTGGCCTCAATGGGAAGAAGAGCCAGCCTGAGGAGGCCTTAGTAGTCTTGGGGTTTGGGAGCCTGGCTGTCTGGCACCACCTAGCTGGCAACCTGGCCCCTAGGCAGAGCCTTCTGGGTGGGCAGAGGGGGTCTGCCATATGTTCTGCGCGTCCATGGGCCTCTCTGGTTGGGGGCCTGAGCCTCTCTGGCTCCTCCCCTTGGTGTTCTGACCCCGTGCCCTACTCCTGCAGCTCCAAAGGCACCAGCTCTGTGAGGCAGGGTGTCCCTGATGCAGGGTGGGCTGCTTGGAGATCCCCTGAGCTGCTCCAGCTTGCTGGGCATCCCCCCCAGGCATCCACCACAGCTGCTGGGCCTCACTTCCGCTGCTAGGGTGAGGAGCAGGTGGCCCGGCTGATAAGCAGTGCTGTTTCCTCTGGGGCAGGAAGCGGGGGGGCAGGTGGTAGAGGGCCTGTGCTGCTGGGCCAGCTGGGCGCCCATGGACCTCAGGCTAAGCAGGCCGGGGAACAGGCAGCGAAGTCCAGGGACCAGACCCCCAGGAGGCCTGCTGTGGGAACAGGTGTGCAGCATGGGTGGGCCTTCCTGCTTGTCTGAGAGGGCCTCCAAGGACACCTGGTCTTTCCACCTTGCTCCCCAGGTCAAGCCTGCATCCCACCACTTGTCCCCCAAGGAGGTAAGAGTCGGAGGGATGGGGGTGCGCAGGGGCGGGGCAACAGGCCTGCATCTTCCTGAAAGCCCCTCAGCCAATGGGCAGGGTTGCTGGCAGCACCCCGGGGGGGAGGAGGGGAGTACTTCTGAGCCTCAGCCCTCTCCACCGCCACACATGTGGGGCCTTCCCTTGCCCTGGGTATGCCCTGTTGGTGCCAGGGATGGCTAGTGGTGAGGGGTTCCTGGGGTGACCAACCCTGCTGTGTCTCAGCGGGACCTGCTCTATGAGGAAGCTCTCTACACTGTCCTGCACCGCCTGGGGCAGCCGGAGCCCAGCCATGTGGTGGAGGCCTCTGAGCTGCTTCGATACCTGCAGGAGGTGAGCCCAGCCCCAACCCCACCTACCTTCCTTGGCCTGGACTCTGGAGCCCTCCTTTCCTGGTCTACCTGCCCCACCATCTGCCTCCCCACCAGGCCTTCCAGATGCAACCTGAGGAGCACCAGCGCATGCTGCAGCAGGCCAGGGAGCTCAAGGTAGCCTGGGCCCAGACAGGGGAAAGGGGGGACCTGGGAAACCCAGCCCTCTTGGGGACTCAGGCCATGCCATCCCAACCCTCTAGAAGCCAATATTTTGTCTGAAGGCAACAGTAAAGCAAGCCAAGGGCATCCTGGGCAAAGATGTCAGTGGTGAGTATGGGCCCTGTACCCTGAGGGGCTCCTTCCTCTCCTCATCAGTCTGACCTCGAGTCCTTGTGAGGGGTCCCCATCCCCCTACATCCCTCCAGGCCTGGCCTCAGTGCTTGGCATCCAGGCTGGGAGGGGCTTTCCTGTTCCTTCTCTCAGCTCTAGGAGGGAGGGGGCACTGATGAGGGATCCTGGCTGACTCCCTGCTGCCTCTTCCCTCCTTGCAGGATTCAGTGACCCCTACTGCCTGCTGGGCATTGAGCAGGGGGTGGGTATGCCAGGGGGCAGCCCAGGGTCTCGGCGTCGGCAGAAGGCCGTGGTGAGGCACACCATCCCCGAAGAGCAGACCCACCGCACCCAGGTCATCAGCCAGACGCTCAATCCTGTCTGGGATGAGACCTTTATTCTGTACGTGGCCCTGCCCCAGCATCCCCTGTCCGGGGCTCCTCTGGCCATCAGGGTCTCCCCAGGCAATGAGATCAGCTGGTCTTCGTGGTTCATTGAAAGGGGCTTGGGCCTGGGGTCTCGAGGCAGGGTAGACAGACAGTAGGCCAGACAGGATAGACCGGTGACATGAGTGCCCTGCGTGCTGGAGGGTGAAAGAGGCTGCGGTCTCTCTCGGCGAATGGAGGGGGCACCTGAAGCCTTGCCCTGGAGGAGGAAGAGGCTGAGACCACACTGTGAGCGGTACTGGAGATGGCGGCTTAGGAGGCCAGGCTCTGAGCTGAGGTCCTTGGGCCCCGGGGTTGGTGTGGGGGCCCTACAGGGCCCTCAATCACACCCTCTTTTCCCTGCAGGGAGTTTGAGGACATAGCAAATGCAAGCTTTCACCTGGACATGTGGTAAGTAACATGCTTGCCCTTAGGGATGGGCAAGAGAAGGGGCCGGGGATGCTGGGTGTGGTGGTGCAGGCCTGTAATCCCAGCACTTGAGAGGCTGAGGCAGGAGGATCGCCATGAGGTCAAGGCTAGCCTGGGCTCCAAACATAGTGAGACTGTCTCAAGAGAAAGAGAGAGAGAGGGAGAGAGAGAGAAGGGCCAGGGGTGAGAGTGGCAGAGCCTCCTCCCTGAAGGGGTCAGAGGCACCCACACTGCCTTTTGCTCAATTCTGTGGCCCACAGGGACATGGATACCGTGGAGTCTGTCCGCCAGAAGCTCGGGGAGCTGACAGATCTTCATGGGCTTCGAAGGTGGGTGCCAGGGGGTTCACAGGGAAGGAGAGGGCTCCTTCTGCCCTCCCACAATGCACGTGCCAGGTGCTGGGCTGCAGGTGCTGTCCCTGGGGCTCAGGTGCCATAGATGGGACAGATTCCAGCCTGACCCCTTCAGGCGCTCAGCCTGTCTCCCTCACCAACCACACCTGAAACAGGATCTTTAAGGAGGCTCGGAAGGACAGAGGCCAGGATGACTTTCTGGGGAACGTGGTTCTGAGGCTGCAGGTGAGGGGGATGGGGAGAGGGGCCCAGGCAAGAGGTGAGAGGAGGGGCATCAGGGCTCCTGGGAAGGTTCCAGGTGGCCCCCAGCAGAGCCTGGAGTCCGCCCTGCCCGCTTCCCCACCCCGACTGTGAGGGGTCTCCTGCCCACCAGGACCTGCGTTGCCGGGAGGACCAGTGGTACCCCCTGGAGCCCCGCACCGAGACCTACCCAGACCGTGGCCAGTGCCACCTCCAATTCCAGCTCATTCACAAGCGGGTAGGACTGTGCCCTGCTGCCTCAGCAGGCAGGCTGGGGAGGGCTGGCTGTACCGGGCATGGGGTCCTCTTTACTCACAGCTATGCTGGTCTCATCACAGAGAGCCACTGCGGCCAGCCGCTCCCAGCCCAGCTACACCATGCACCTCCACCTTCTGCAGCAGCTCGTGTCCCACGAGGTCACCCAGCACAAGGTACTACCTTCCCCAGACTGAGTGCCACCCAGGCTGCCTGTCAGAGCCTGCCCCTGGCCACCCACCACTCCACTGTTCCCTCAGGTAGGCAGTACCTCATGGGATGGGTCACTGAGTCCCCAGGCCACTACCATCCTCTTCCTCCATGCTATGCAGAAGGACCTGTCTGACTTCCACCAGTCCCTGGCGTGAGTACATAGCCCTGCATAGAACCTCTGGGGGCTGTTGGCAGTCACCAGTCTCCCCCACCCTGTCTGCCAACCTATAGGCTGGCAGCCCAAAATCTGACCCTCTGGAGAGTGCTCTTTGGCCCAAACTATGTTTTCAGATTTGAATCAGTTGCCAATTATTTTTTTTGGTACCAGGAATTGAACTCAGGACCGTGCGCTTGCGAGGCAGGCATGCATGAGGACCCATGAGCTAAATCTCCAGCCCTCAGTTGCCAACTTTTAAAACTCTGGAAAGCACGCCTGTAATCCCAGCACTAAGGAGGCTCAGGCAGGAGAATCACAAGTTCAAGGCCAGCCTGGACTACATAGTGAGACCCTGTCTAAAAAATAATAATAAATAACCACAAAACCAAACCAAAACAAAAACTCTGGAGAGTTCATATTCAACCCAGATCTCCAGCTGCTCATGTAACAGAAGCACTGGAATTTCGGGGTTGGCCAGATCAGAGCAGCAGGTCCTCCTCTGTCCAGTGCAGTTGCCATGGGACCCAGTTCCTTACATCTCCTGAGTCCTTCTGGGCATTTGAGTTTCCCTGAGCAACCCCACCACATTTCCCAATGCCATAGCCTCCAAGTCAGCAAATGAACAAACATTAAATGACAAGCTGGGTGTGGTGGCACATACCTCCTGACGCAGGAGGGTCACAGTTCAGAACCAGCCTGAACTACAGAGCGGAGACTCTGTCTCAAAAAAATAAAAACAAAAACAAAACATTAACTGACTTTAGCAAATATTCGTTGAGGGCCTGTCAGATTTCTAGGGCCATGCCCGATTCTGGGAATAACGGGAGGTCAGACATTCCATGGTTTGTGAGAAGTGCAGAGGTGGGGCCACACCCAGAGTGCTGGCCAAAGGGAGAAGGGAATGAGAGCAGAATGTGCCCAGGGACTGGTCTGAGGCTTAGCATTTGGGAAGCAGAAGGAGGCCCAGGGAGAGGGAGGGCAACTCTAGGTGGCATTGCTGAAGACCTTGGATGGTGAGGGGCCTGGTGTGCCTGCAGAGCCCTAGCACTGCTGCAGGTGGCAGCTGTGGCAGCAGGGACCTCGGCCTGTTACTGGGTTGCTCTTCTTCCCTACCCTCCATTCTCTTTACTTGGATCTTGTCCAGCTCAATTGTCACCTCTGTCATTTTCCCCTGAGCTGTTATTTTTTTTTTTTTTTTGGTACCGGGGATCAAACTTGGGTCCTTGCGCTTGCTTGCGGGGCAGGCAGCAGAACCACTGAACTAAATCCCTGGCCCTCCCCTGAGCTGTTTAAAGGGAAATTCCAGCTGATGTTTGCTGTATGTGCATGAAGGCTCTGATCCTTAAATCTGGTATTTTCAATTGAAGTAAGAAATTCCAAAGTTGCAAAATCACAAATAGCCAAATTTAAGAGAAAAGTGATTTAAAGTGGGTACAGTGGTGCAGGCCTTTAATGCCAGCACTTTGGGAGGCTGAGGTAGGATGATCCAAAGTTCAAACCCAGCCTGGGCCACTTAGCAAGACCCTGTCTCAAAAGAGAAATGGGGTAGGGGTAGGGACAGAGAGACAGAGACAGAGAGAAATAATTTAGAACACATCTATGGGGACAAAATCCTGTGAGTCACTTTCAGCCACTAGTTTTTGGAGCAGGGGAGGCATGGGCCCTCTGCCTGGGCCCGGCTGAGGGCTTCCTTCCCTGCAGGCACTGGCTGGCCTACAGCCACCTCTACCAGAGCCTGGAGTTCCCTAGCAGCTGCCTCCTGCACCCCATCACCAGCATTGAGTACCAGTGGATTCAAGGCCGGCTCAAGCCAGAACAGGTAGGTGTGGGAGTCAGAGGGGTATGGGGTGTTGGGCAGGCAGGGCTCAGGGGGGAACAGAGGACCCGAGGGGGCCATAAACAGCTCCTGCCTCAGGGTATCTTCCTGATTGTAGCTGGAGGAATTGACCACTTCATTCACCTCCCTGCTGGCCTATGGCCTTTCCCTCATCCGGAGGTTCCGCTCCGTCTTCCCCCTCTCTGTCTCCGACTCCCCAGCCCGGCTGCAGTCTCTCCTCAGGTCAGTGGTTATGCATCTGCTTTCACAGGGGTGTCAGGGTCGAGGGTTCAGCAGGGCACCCACTGGGGTGGGGAGCAGCAGCACTGGGACACAGCCCTCTGTCACCCAGAGTCCTGGTGCAGATGTGTAAGATGAAGGCCTTCGGAGAACTGTGCCAGAACAGCACCCCACTGCCCCAGCTGGTGACAGAGGCCCTGCGGGTATGGCACTGGGCCTGGGGGTGGGGAGGGGGGGCACGTGCCTAGGCCCAGCCTCTTCTCCCTGCTCACTGGCTCTCCGCTGACAGACTGGCACTGTTGAATGGTTCCACCTAAAGCAGCAACACCATCAGCCCATGGTGCAGGTAGGGACTGGAACGAGATGGGTATCGGGGTGCCCAGTTCTGCTGCCCTGCTCAGCCTACCTGTGCTTCTTCCAGGGCATGCTAGAGGCAGGCAAGGCCTTGTTGAGCCTGGTACAAGATGTCTTGGGCGACTTGCACCAGTGCCAGCGCACATGGAACAAGATCTTCCACAAGTGAGCAGACTCGGGCCGGGAGGTAGTGGGCACCAGGACCTTGGTGTGTGCTACTGGGGTCATGGCTGGTGCCTTTCCTCCAGCAGTCTCAAGATTGACCTCTTCTCCATGGTTTTCCTGGAGCTGCAGTGGCTGGTAAGGCTGTCAACTGTCCCCAGGCTGCCCCCTCTGCCCAACTACTCAGGCCTGCCCACCAGGCCTTTCCGTGCAGGTGGCCAAGCGAGTGCAGGACCATACATCAGCAGTGGGCAGCCCTGTGTCTCCAGAGATGGCCGAGAGTCTGTTCCAGCTCTATGTCAGCCTCAAGGAGCTCTGCCAGCTGGGCCCGGTCCCTGCAGACAGGTGGGGTGCAGGCTGCTTTTGAGTGGGCTGGCCCTGGTCATCCCTAGGCTGAGCCCCAGCTCTCCCCAGGGACGGAGTCCTGGCCCTAGATGGTTTCCACCGCTGGTTCCAGCCAGCCATCCCTTCCTGGCTGCAGAAGACATACAGCGTGGCACTGGAGCGGGTGCAGCGCGCTGTGCAGATGGACAAGGTGGGGCAGGAACTCAGGGCATGGTAGAAGCTGGTAACCCACTCTGAACATCCCATCTGGGGCTCTTCATGCCAAACTCCATTTCCTGATATCCTGGGGTTAACTGCGGCTTCCTTTGCCCACAGATCCTGTAGGCTGGGGGGGTCTGGGCAGAGTCTTGCTTCTTCCCCCTGCAGTCCTCTGCCCAGCTCTTGGTGGTAGAGAGGATGGATTTGTCCTGTCCCAAGAGCCCCTTTCTAAGAGCTCCTCCTTTCTCCCAGCTGGTGCCCCTGGGTGAACTGACCAAGCATAGCACATCAGCTGTGGATCTGTCTACCTGCTTTGCCCAGATCAGCCACACCGCCCAGCAGCTGGACTGGCCGGACCCAGAGGAAGCCTTCATGATTACTGTCAAATTTGTGGAGGTGCAGCATCTTTCCCACCTTTCTAGCACCACCTCACTATGACCCTGGCCCATTTCTCCCAGCCTCTCCGACCAACAGTCCCCCGAGACCTGTGTCCTAAATGTCCTAAATATCCCAAAGTTCCAGAGATTCCCATGTCCCCTGTCTACACTGCCTAGAGCCCCAACCATTTATCAATCCCTTTGGACCCACCCCGCCCAGGACACCTGCCGGCTGGCCCTGGTATACTGCAGCCTTATAAAGGCCCGGGCCCGAGCACTCTCTGCAGGCCAGAAGGACCAGGGCCAGGCAGCCGACATGGTAAGGGCCAGAGCTGAGAGCTGGGGGCTGGCCAGGGCAGGTGTGGAGCCTCCCTGTGCTGGCTCTGTCTAGGAAACCCCATGTCCCTCTGCCTGTGCCTGTCTGCAGCTGTGTGTAGTCGTGAATGACATGGAGCAGCTGCGCCTGGTGATCGGCAAGCTGCCCACCCAGCTGGCATGGCAGGCCTTGGAGCAGCGGGTAGGGACTGTGCTGGAGCAAGGACAGCTGCAGAACACACTACACACCCAGCTGCAGAGCGCATTGGCTGGGCTGGGCCATGAGATCCGCACTGGGGTCCAAACCCTGGCCGAGCAGGTATGTTGTTGGGCCCCAGCAGAATCTGGGCTAATGTACATTCCCTGCTTCCTTCCTCAACTTAAACTCAGGCCCCAAGTGAACCCTCCTGAGCTACCACTCATTCCCTGACCTCACCCATCTACCATTTTGTGTTCCCAGCTGGAGGTGGGCATTGCCAGACACATCCAGAAGCTCGTGGATGTCAAAGAGTCAGTGCTTCCCGAGGACGTGAGTGACTCCTGCTTTCTGACCTTCACTGCCCTGCCAGCTCTGTGGGTCCAGGGACGTGAAGGAGGCCCAAGGTGGGCAGGGGCTGAGGGCCTGGGGGTGTCGGAGATCAGTCCCCTAGACGTGGGCGAGGCATGTTGCCTCCCCGGACCTTGTTTCCTCTCCAGATGCTCAGTGGGGCAGGCTGGGTCTCCACATGGTCTCCCAGCATTCATGGTTGTGTGAGATGCCACAAAGAAGGCTTAGGCTTTGCAGATCATAGGTCTGGGTACCCTTCCTTCTCAGCACCTCCTTGCTCTGCTGTCCTATTTATATGGGCAGTCACTGACCTCAGTCTCCTCCACTGTAAGTGGGGAGAGTGCTGCACATCTCTGATTTGTTAATTCATCAACTTCAATAAGCACTCACTTTGACCCAGGCATTGATTTAAGCACTGGGGATAGATCAGTGAACAACATGACAAAAATTCCTGCTTTTCCAGCACTTCCATTCTAGTGGGGGGAATGAAATATATAACTATAGCCATATTTCTGTCTGCAACTATAAATATGCATACAGATGTGTATGCATTGCACAGTTATACAGTGTGTTAGATAAGGCCAAAGAGAACAACAATGACAAGGGGGTTCTAGGGAGTGTCAGAGGGCTGTATTTTTAAGTAGTGTCTGGGGAAGGCCTTATTCAGAGGGTGACAGCTGAGTCAAGATCTACAGGAAGCAAGGCAAAGAGCCATGAGGCTTTCTAGAGAAAGAACACTTCCAGCAGAAGGAACAGTAAGAGCAAAGGTCCTGAGGTAGCACCATGGCAGGTTCATAGGCTATAGAGGCAGCCAGTGTGGCCAGAGTGGTCATTAGCTACTGTGCACACAAAGCTCCTGGTCCTCTTTCCTCTCCCAGGGTCAGGCAAGGGATTGGGGGTGGGGCCAAAATGGACACGAGGCAACTGTGCTCCTCACCGCCTCCCCAGGCCATTCTGCCCTTGATGAAGTTCCTGGAGGTGAAGCTCTGCTACATGAACACCAACCTGGTACAAGAGAACTTTAGCAGGTGCGTGGCAGCCCCTGGCCTCTGGGGCCCCTCAGCCCCACTTGTTCAAGAACCCTGCCCTCACGGCCTGAGTGTCCATGGGGGCCGTGATGTGAATCCTTTCAGTGACCTCCCTTAGATGGTACAACCAGCCTCTGCTCAAGTGCTTGCTTCCGGGGACTACCTCTTTATGAGCCTGCCCCTTTCATGCCACCCAGCTCGGAACATTACACATTCTTTAGGCTGAGCTGAAATTTGTCTCCCTCAGTCCGGGCCCCATCTTTAGGGCCTCCTTGCCTGCCTCTCCTCCCTCAAGTTACAGGCATCTGGTGTGACTGGCCCACCACCCGAGCAACTTCCAGTTAGGGTTTCTGAAGCAGGGAGTGGGGCCTGACAGTGGGGACTGTGGGTGGCCAGGTTCAGACACCTTGGCAGCGTCAGGCAGTTACTTGTTTTCAGTGCCAGTGATCTCAGTTCTGCCCTCCACTGAGGACTGAATGGGCCATGTGCAGGAAGTACTCAGTGACTATTAGCTGTAGCCAAGGTGACAGGATCCATCTCTAAGTCTCTGGTCCCTTCTAGACTAATGCTCTTCTCACTGGGCAGCCATTTGACTTAAATGTGTCAAATAAACTACTTTTAACATAGGGCTCCCCCAGTCTTTTTTTTTTGGCAGTGCTGGTGATGGAACCCAGGGCCTGTCACGTTTTAGGCAAGTGCTCTACCACTAGACCACATCACCCACCACTTTATTTATTTATTTCTCTATTTATTTATTTTGAGACAGGGTCTCATTGTGTAGTCCAGCTGATCTTGGACTATGCTGCCCAGGCTGGCCTCAAACTCACGGCAATCCTCCTGGCTCAGCCTCCCAACCTACCACTTTTAAAGAAATTTTATTTGGGGCCGGGATTTGGTTCAGTCATTCCACCACCTGCCTCGAAAGCGCAAAGTCCTGAGTTTGATCCCCAGTACCAAAAAAACACAAAACTTTATTCTGAGACAGGGTCTTGCTAATTTACCCAGACTTGCCTCAAACTTGCAATTTTCCTCCCTCAGCTTCTCAGTGTGCTAGTATTACAGGCATGGTGTCACTGTGCCTAGCTACAATTCTTTTTTTTTGTACCTAACTTTTTTTTTTTTGGTACTGGGGATCAAACTTGGGTCCTTGCGCTTGTGCAGCAGGCGGCGAAACCACTGAGTTAAATCCCCGGCCCTATGTACCTAACTTTTTGTACCTAACTCTGACATGTGTTAAATCTCAGGTCATTCTCAGGACTGTGACCTCCTCACTATTGTATTGTTCCTATAAGGTAGTAGATGCTTATCCATGAGGTTTTTTTTTTTTTTTTGGTACTGGGGATCAAACTCCTGGAACCACTGAGCTAAATCCCCGGCCCCTCCATGAGGTTGTTTTGAGCCTATAAATTTTGGAACTCTGTCTTCAGTTGTGATTCTGGCCCTGGGGTCTAGCAAGGTTTGTTGTAGTTTGTTGGTCCATGGTCCTCTTGAGGAGCTTCTTCTCTGTGACTGAGAGACATGCCAGAGAAGACTTACCCTTTCTTCCCCTGCCCCCTTCCCTCAGAAGACCAGCCTTCCCTCCCTTTGCCACCTACCTGCCCTGGCTCCTGAGGAGCAGGCAGAGGGGGAGGTAGGGTTGGGCCTGGGTCCCCAAGGCCTCCCATTTCTCAAAGCATTGTGCCTCTGTCCCTGGCCAGCCTTTTGACCCTGCTCTGGACCCACACACTCACGGTGCTGGTGGAAGCAGCTGCCTCCCAGCGCAGCTCGACTCTGGCCTCTGGCAGACTGAAGGTGGCCCTGCAGGTAATATAATAATGCCAAGCATAGGGATAGCAGCCCTGGGGGAAGGGTGCCTGGGCTCACCTCTGATGTCTTCCCCAGAACCTGGAGATCTGCTTCCATGCTGAGGGCTGTGGTCTTCCCCCTGAGGCCCTGCACACAGCCACCTTCCAGGTAGGGGTCTTGGTGTACTCCCAGGTAGTATTCTGCATTCACCTGTGTCCAGGGCCGGCTACATAATTTATGGGACCCAGGGTAAAATGAAAAAGTGACCTCTTAACCAGGTGTGGTGGCACATGCCTATAATCCCAGCACTTGGGAGGCTGAGGCAGGAGGATTTCTGTGAGTTTGAGGCCAGCCTTGACTCCAAGTTCCAGGACAACTTGGACTATATAGCTAGACTCTCAAGAAACAAACAAGAAAACAAAACAAAAAGGTGGCCCTTTATTAAAAAATTACTACAAATTTTAAGATACCATAGCAGAACATTACCTTGTTTGAGCCTTTCAAAGCACTGGGGCTCCGTGTGCCTGCATGGGGGATAAGCCCAGGGAGCCGGCCATCTACCAGCACTGACACTCTGCCCCAGTATCTGCTGGGCACTCTTGAGAGTGCACCCCCGCCCATGGTCTCGTAACACCAGTGCTTCCCTTTCAAAGTTGTCTCAGCCTCTGTTGTGAGCGGGTGGGAGGCCTGGCTATGCATAGGTGTGAAGGTTCAGGAGGATGCTTGACTGTGCTATTCCAGGCTCTGCAGAGGGACCTGGAGCTACAGGCAGCCTCCAGCCGGGAACTCATCCGCAAGTACTTCTGCAGCCGCATCCAGCAGCAGGTGAGGGTCCCTGTCCTCCACTGTACCAACCATGGCTCCACTGTGCCATCTACCCTCTCCCCCAGCTGACCCTGCATGTGCTCCCCATGCCCAGGCAGAAACCACCTCTGAGTGGCTGGGTGCTGTCACGGTCAAGGCTTCCTACCGTTCCTCAGAGCAGAAACTGCATGTGGAGTTGCTCAGTGCCTCTAGCCTGCTGCCCCTGGACTCCAACGGTGAGTGGAGGCTGCACACTGGCTGCTGCTGTGTCCTCTCCCTGGACCTGGGTGGGGGTTTGGCAGGAGCTTTGGATGCACTTCCTTGGTTGCCAGGAGAGGGCAGTGGTGCTGAGTGGCACAGCTGGGGCAGGGCTGGGAGCACTGATCTAGGCCCTCTCCCCTGGGGTACCTGCCAGGCTCCAGTGACCCCTTTGTCCAGCTGACCTTGGAGCCCAGGCATGAATTCCCTGAACTAGCTCCCCGAGAGACCCAGAAGCACAAGAAGGATCTTCACCCGCTGTTTGATGAGACCTTTGAATTGTGAGTGGATCCCTACTCTTCTCTAGCTTCCCTGCCCTGAAGCCCCCCAAGGGGACTCTGAGATGACCATATGAAGTGCAGGGAAGGGGTATCTGGAGAAAGTCTGCTTCCCCTGGAAGAAGGGCTCCCACATTTGGATTCAAAAGCTTCCAGGGAAGGGTCCTGTCCCTGAGGACCTCAGTGGCCTGCTCTGTTGCCCTAGACAGGTGGCCTGGGGCCACAGAACCCTTGATTTAAAGCATTAGCCCATGGTCAGAGCAGGTGTGTGACACAGGGCTGACAGCTGACTGCAATGGCTCTGTCAGGAAAGAGAAGGTGACCTGAGTGTTGGTGGGCAGGCACCTGAGCCCCTGACTCTGTCTGTTAGCCTGGTGGCTGCTGAGCCATGCCGGAAGGATGGGGCGTGCCTCCTGCTCACCGTGCTGGACCACGACACGCTGGGGGCCAATGACCTGGAAGGGGAGGCGTTCCTGCCACTGTGTGCGGTGCCTGGGCTGACTGGCTGCGAGGAGCCTGGTGAGGCGCCTCAGACCCGCCTGCCCCTCACGTATCCCATGCCCAATGGTAGGTCTGAGTCCCAAGGCAGGGAAGGGATGGGGCCCTCAGGAAGCTCAGGCAGGGGGCCCAGAGAAACGTTTCTTTGGGAGATGGAAGCCACTGGAACAAGCACCATGGCTCTGTTGCTGAGGGGTCTGGAAAATCTCTTGCTCTAGTAGAGAACAGTGAAAAGTGAGCTCAGTGAAATTCTCTAACTTTCCTGGTAGGGAGGTCACAAGCTCACCTGAAGAGAGGGGCCTGGATCTCTGAGCAGGGGACATATCCCTTTGAAGCATCCCCTAGGCTTGATGACAGGAATAGGTTACATGTTTGTACACATACAAGTCAGTTCTCAGCACTTCACATATAGTAACTCTTTCAATTCTTAAACCTGCCAACGAGGGAGTACTATTATCAGTGCTATTTTACAGGTCCTTACACAGACACAGAGTTAAATAGCTAGCTTCAGGTCTCATTTAAAAAGGTAGAAGCTGGGCGTGATGGTGCATGCCTTAATCCCAGCACTTGAGGCTCAGGCAGGATTGCTAGTTCAAAACCCGCCTGGGCTACACAGCATGTTCAAGGGCAGCCTGGATTACTATGCACTGTAGTGAAATCCTGTCTCAAAGAACCAAAAAAAAATAACTGGGTGTGGTGCCACACACCTATAATCCCAGCACTAGGGAGGCTAAGGCAGGAGGATGGTGAGTTTATGGCTGGCCTGAGCTATATAGCAAGACCTTGACTCAAAAACAAAAATCACAAAACCCAAAAGAATAAAATTGGCTACTGTGTCCCTTCATGGTAGTCTGCTCTCTTCTGTACAGCATATTTTCCTACCTTTACTTGGCCCAAACTTGTTCTGTGGGGCCTATTTCTTTTCCTACCTTTAGTAAATGTAAAATCTTAAAAAAAGAAAAAGAATAAAATTAAAGCCAGCCATAGGGGTGCATGCATGTAATTCCAGCACTCTGGAACCATGAGGCAGAAGATTCCAAATTCCAGCCTAGGCTGGGCAATTTAGCAATTTAGGGCTGTGCAAAGGCTCTTTTATTCCTAGTACATAGATAAAGTAGGTACCTCAGGGAGGTCCAGCCTCCCATCTGTCTGGATGTATCCTGTGTGCTATCTGGTGTATCTGTCCTAGCTTTCCTTCCATGCTGGGGGGGTGGGGGTGGGGAGGAGGGGAAGATGGGGCAATGTTGACCTGCCTTCCAGGCACTGCCTCTTCCCCAAATCTGACCCTCAAACCCTTCTCTCCACAGGGGATCCAATCCTGCAGCTGTTGGAGGGCCGGAAGGGTGATCGTGAGGCCCAGGCCTTTGTGAGACTGAGGAGGCAGCGAGCCAAGCAGGCCTCCCAGCATCCCCCAAGGCCAGGGCAGTAACAGTGGGGGTTGGACAATGGGCTGGCCCCTGGTGGGGTCCTGAAAGGTTGAGGTCTTCCTTGTACAGTTCAGGGAGCCCCAGCAAGTGGAAGGCCCAGGTGCAGACTCCCTCTGAGCACCATCAGCAGTATTTATACTTTTCATCCCTCTGATCTCTGCCACACCCCAGCATGGTATGAGTAGCATCTCCTGCCCCTGCTCCATCCTGGAAAAGCTGTCTGGTGAAGTGGGGGGTCTTGGGCCACCTACCTCCTGGCCTGTGTGCTCCAGCCCCTGGGGTGCGGAGACCAGGTGGTTCGCACTGGAACTGGGGGACAGAGAGGCTCCTGAGGAACAAGAGGGGAACTACCAAAGATGAGGTACCAGCTGTCCTGAGGGAGGGGCATGGCCATTACTGGAGGCAGTCCTGGTATGGACTTTTCGGCTCTGAGCTGGAAGGCAGTGGGACTGACACCAGGAGACAGGAGAAAGGGCAGTCTGGCTGTGTCTGCTGAGAACACCTCCTCCCTTGGATAGCTCCTGCCACCAAGAAACTTTCTTAGCAAAAATTAAAAAGAAAATCCATGTTCCTCTTTGAAAACCATCTGTTGGCCTAAGGTGGGCACTGGAAGGCTCATCAGGCCATTTAGCCTCCTCTGCAGCCAGCAAGAGACCTGAGCTTCCCCCATGCAGGATCCCCAAGCTGCAAGCAGGGAGCTGGGTGAGGGGGATCTTGCCACAGAAGCCCTGAGTAGGGTGGTTGGTATTAATGGCATTCGGTCATGGGCTTTGAACAGGTCACTGCACCAGGTGTTGTTAGTCACTGTGGTTCTTGGGAAGGGTGCCCTGAGACCGAGCGCCTGCTCTGGACAGCAGCGGGGCACCACTGCCTATGAGGGGCCCCTGTACACTGGGAGGCAGACTGGTCATTCTAGCGGCAATCCTGGAAGTCATTTAACCCGTCTATAGAAACTGCTGAAGGTGGGAGGTGTGCAGCTCTGGCCCTGAGGCCCTGCAGGGGCAACTCACTAGGGGTTTCCCTCATTCGGCACCCAGCCCAGTACAGAGCAGGGCAGGAAGGATGTGGCTCCTAGATCCTGGGCCCTCTCCTTCAGGGGCAGGGTGGGGTGAGGAAGGCAACTTCCATAGTACACCCCCCTTTTCTTTTTATGCCTTTATGCAAACCATTCCTATGGGAAGGTGCTGTCTGTTCCTGTAAGAAACAATTAGGGGCTCGCCACTCACAGCTGAAGACAGATCTCTAAACAAGAAAGTCACAGGGCCTGGGAGGTCGATGTCCAAGGCTAATGTCCCAGCTCCTCATCCGTGCAGGTCAGAGGGCATGTGAGCTGCCTCTGGGCCTGGATGGGCCCGGGCCTCTTCAGCTAAGCAGTCTGCAGCTGAGGCAGGGCTCCTGCCCACCTCATGGTATGGAAGCCTCATTTGGGGTCCACCCCCCATACAAACATGCCACCAAACCAAGTTCATAGTTTATTTCCAATAGGTTTGCTCTATTGATTTTTGCATTTTTTTTTTAAAAAAGGAGAAGTTTTCACTTGATTCACTGAAAGCCCTTTCGTGCTGAGCCCAAAAGGGGGCCTGGGCCAGGGCAGACCCTTCAAAGCCCTCTCAAGCCCACCTGGGCCCTAGTGCTGGGAGCAAGGTTGCTTCCCTCAGCCTGCATCGCCCTCCCGCCCCCACTGCATCTCTCTCTGTACAAAACAATTTAAAAATTGAGCTAAGACACAATGTACATCAGACAGCCACACACACATGCACACGGGCGCCTGCCCAGGACGGCAGGACATCAGCTGCACTCAGAGAGCACCAAGGAATGCATACGGAGCCCCTCCTGGCAAGGAGGGCAGGGTCTGTGCCCCCCTTGGTCCTCAGGCTAAACTCCTTCCCAACAATTGCCCTGCTAGCTGCCAGAGGGAGGGGGCGGACGACACAGTGGCCGCACCAGAGAGGGGAAGGGGCAGGGATGGCTGAGGGCAGTGCCAACCTGGTAGGTGGCCCTGGGGCCAGGGAGGCTGTTCTGGGGAGTCCAGGAGGAAAGGACTGAGGGGGACACCAGGCCTCAAGAACCCGAGGGATAGGACTGGGCCTTGCCCCTTGAGGGGCTTCAAGGGCCCAGGTGCAGGGGTGGGGCTGGCCCCATACGTTCGGTCTGCCAGCCCCTGCAGTTGTCACTAAAACTAAATACACATTTGGTAAGCCTAGAAGCTAGGCTGGTGTAGAACCCCAGCACAGCCTCAGGCCTCCCTGAGGCCCTCACAGCTGGGAACCAGGTATGCTGCGGGCAACTGGGTCCTCCACAGCCTCCTGCTAGCCCTGGACTGGAGAGGCAGGAGGAACAGGGCCTGCCCTGAAAGCTTCTCTCCCCTCAGCCTCCTCTAGCTTCCCAACCTCCCCACTCAGGCCCCAGCAGAAAGTTAAAAATAGTTAGTTCCTACATATAAAAAAAGAGACAGAAACATTCTCTGCCAAAAGGCCAGTGGGAGAAGAGGGGACTTTGTCTCTGAGTGGGATGGGTGGGGAGCGGGCTGGGGAGGACTGCAAAATAGTTTTTTTAAAAAGTGCTTGGTAAGTCTGTTTAAAGTGTGTGTCTATATCTATGTACAGATATACACACAGACACTGTGCACACGCTGGCCACCACGCACACCTGCACACACAAAGAAATGTATACATGTACATAATCATATACATATACATACATATATAATATATATACATACATATATATATATACATACATATATATATATACATACATATATATACACATACATATATATATATATATATATATATACTTTAAAAAGTCCTAGTGAGAGATCTGGGCCTGGCTGGGCCAGTCCTGCAGCGTCACGACTGGAGGGTGTGGGCCCGGCTGGGCTGGCAGACGGGGCACTCACTGCCCTCGGCACAGAGCTCGCACAGCACAGCATGTTGGCACGGCAGCACTGCTCGGGTCTGCTCCTGACACTTAAGGCATTTCACTGACTGCATGTGGAAAACAGCCTGCAGGAAAAGTGACAAGAGTGGTCCTGAGTGAGGCTTTTTTTTGGTACCAGGGATCAAACTCCAGACCTTGCACTTGCAAAGCAGGTGCCAGAACCACTGAGCTAAATCCCTGGCCCAAGAGTGGTCATGAGTGAAGTTTCTGGTGCCAGCTTGGCACCAAGTTGAGAAGGACCTCCCTTGATTCTCACGTCAGCCCCCCTGGGAAGAAGAAACCAAGGCACAGAAATCAATAGTGTGGTCACAGAACCCTGTCAGCAACAGGGAGTAGCGTTAGGATTCAAGCTGCCCAGCTCCAGGCTCCTGACCACTGCTCTCCACAGCAGTTGCTGAGTGGCAACCCCAGGCTGCTGGGACAGGGTGCTGGCTGCATTTCGCATCCCTCAAGGCTTTTTCTGGCACCTCTGTTAATGCCTTCTGTCTCATTTAATCTTACAGTGACCCCAGGTCCCCAAGTGAGAAAAATGAGGCCTAGAGAGGACGATCACATGCCAAGGGGCCTGGCTGTCCAATGAAGGAAAAAATGCTCCTTCCACAGGTGACCCCACCCCTGGGAGCCCAGCAGGGAACCTGGGAATGCAGATGGGGCAGCCCCAGGGCCTGAGCCACTCTGGAATGTGTGCTGACGTGTGGAGAGCTGCATAAGGATGCCACACAGGGCCCAGGCACGTCAATGAGCTCAGGTCAAGAGCACCAGGAATGGGTGCTGCCACCCCTACCCTATGCTTTCTTTCTTGCCGCTTCATAAGGGCACTCTTCCTCACCCTCTCCCAGCAGACTGGCATGGTGACGGTCAGCCCAGTGTTAGGCAGAGGCTCTCAGGAGGGTAGCTGTCCCTGGAGCAGCCTGGATTGGGCCTGGTCAGAGTCTGGCACTGGCTGAAGCTACCATACACACCCACCCAGTGCATCCTGGCCTCCGGGGCTGACCTTGTCCACTTGCTCCAGGTGGGCCCGCAGCTGCTTCTGGAGGGAGTACAGGGTGGAGAGCGAGAGCGCCTCCAGGTCGGGGAAGGTGGGCAGGGCCTGGGGGTCGGGCCCTGTGTGAAGCCGCTCCAGCTCCTCTTGGAGCTTCTTCACCCGCACCTCCAATGCGTCCCGTTGCTCCCGGGCCAGCTCACACTCTGCACCTGCAGCACTGGCCCGCTCACCGGCCTCCTCTGCCTCCTTCTTCCAGGCATCACAAGCCTGTGGGCCCAACACGCAGCGCCTCATCACAATGGCCCCCTGCCCCTGCCCCCGTTCTCCCGCAGAGAGTATCTCTGGGAACCTGTGTGGGCCATGCTGGCTGTGGGGCCTGCTGGGAAGCTAGGCTTTCTGTCTGGGGAGGGGGCAGGGAGGAGGCTGATGCTGCCTGCAGAGGAGAGGTTTCAGGACCTGCAGAAGACCCTCTCTCTGTGGGCAGGAAGAGGAAGGGCCTAGCACAGCAGGGCCACATCCTGGCCAGCACCCCCAGGGACAGCTGGGTGATGGCTGGACAGAGGCTCCGTCTTAGAACCAGGAACCTGTAACCCCGGAGTGGGGACTTCCAGAAAGAAGCAGGTGGGCTTTCAGTTAGGGGTACACAAACAGCTCCGGGAGAGTTCCAGGCCTGTGATACCAGTGGCCCCAGTATCCAAACTAGCAAGGCCAGTCCTCCCACAGGAGAAAGGGCAAACCAAAGCTTCCCCTCTGTTCTTGGAGCCCTAGCTCTCCCACCCCCCATGCCCACTCTGGGTAGGATGGGCTTGGGCTGGGTGCTACTGGACACCAGGGACACCAAGGGCGTGGGGTGCTGTACCTGCTTGGCCTGCTTCCAGGACTCCTCCCACTGCTTGATGGTGCCATTGGCCTCATCAAGCTCCTGGCGTAACCGGGCCAGCTCAGCAGCCCCAGGCCCTGAGAGGAAGGCAGGGGAGGTACCCGGGGAGAAGCTTCCGGAGGCAAAATGTTCCCAGATGCTGCTGTTCATCCCATTCAGACCTGCGTGGGGGTGGGGTGGGGGGAATGTCAACTGTTCAGAGCCCAGGGGTTTCCTGGGGCTGGCTCAGCATGGGGCAGATGTTCGAGGCCCCAGCCACATCAGGCTGGGGCATTCTGCAGGACCACTTTGAGGGTTCCATGAGCTGGACACAAACTTCAGTATCATTTGCTACTTAATAGCTGCCTCTTAAAGCATTCCCATGTGTACACTGAGGTTCCCATTACTGGCCTCAGCAGAGGACTCAGGAAGTACTGCATGAGAGAATAGTCTAAAAGCTCCTGCTGGTGGCAATTTGTGACAGTGACTTCACAGTTCAGCTAGGGCTCACAAAGCCTTCTTATACCCTAGCGACTGGAAGAGGAAGAGGAAAAGCCATAGGTCAGCACTTTACATGATAGAAGAGCTGGAGTGGGAGGTACCAAGGAGCCCTGGGGCCCTCCCTGTCTTACAGATGAGGACACTGGAAGAGAATGTGCTACCAAGGATCACAGTAACAATTGAGTGACAGAGCAGGTTCCACATGAGTGCTGAACTCCAAAGGCCTTCTTTCTCACAAGCTAAGCTGCCCACTCCTGCTCACATGCTCATTGGAGGTGTGCCAACACCTGGTGCCCTGTTCTCTGGTCTCCAGGGCAGCGCAGGCCCCCATCTTCTTGAGAGACTTCTTGAGGTCTTCTTCCTGTGCCTAAATTTTTTTTTTTTGGAGGCAGGGTCTCGCTACTAGTTCAGGCTGGCCTCAAACTCATGATAATCCTCCTGCCTCAGCCTCCCCAGTGCTGGGATTACAGGCATGTGCCACCACAACTGGCAGATGCCCATACATATTCTAATGACTTCTTCCTTGTTACCTTTCTCACTAATCCAGCCAGGATGCTCCAGAACCAGAGTTCAGAAATTCTGTCCTGGAGCAACAGGTACACTCATACAAGAGGGGCATTGTCCTGTAGAGCACCTGTGGTGCACACTGTCTTTGAGCCCATCTGCCTGTCCCAGAGGAGGGACCTCCAGATCACTGCGCTGACACCAGACTGTCCTGGCAGCAAGCTGTGTCCACCCACACCTCTCCCATCCTCATGAGGGTGGCACTTATGCCATCCAGTGAGGTTCCCTGCATCACTCTTAGCAGATCCCAGTGTCTATACTCCTGTCTCTTGCCCTGATGTTGGAGGCCATCCAGCAAACCCTTGCATCTATATGAGTGTTTCCAAGATTCAGCTGGTGAGGGGATGTATGGGGCCAGCAGGGCTACGTCAAAACACCTCCAGAACAGGCGCACAATGTAACACTAACACATTTGCAGACACAGCCCAAACCAGAGAACAACCTCATCCAAACTGGAAGATACTATCAAACCTCTAGGAGATGAGAAAGTGCCGCACCTGGTCAGAACAACTTCAGGGGCTCAGTCCCTCTGTTTGACTGGGAGGCCCAGCATTCTCAGGGCTCTTTCTGGTCTCTGAATAGCTGCTGTAGAGGCCACTGCTGCTCCCTGAGAGGCACCCGGCTGGGGGCTGTCAAATGCTTTGTGTCCCCATTACCTTGGGGACACTACCACAGCCCCCATGAGGAGACAAGCCCCTGGCTGTGATGGCAGGGCTGGAGAAATAGCCTTCTTGGCTAGATTTGGGTATCTCCCTGGTGCCTCTGCCTGCCAGAAAGGGTACCCTGAGCCTGAGGTGGGCCTGGTCCAACTTCTCCCTTGCTCTACTGCCACCCTGGTTTGTGTGACCAGCTTCTGGGAGCTCTGCGTGACTCATGTTATTTTAGTTTTGGAGTGCTGGGGGTTGACCCATCCATGGCCTTGTACATGCTAGGCAAATATGCTCCTAGGGGGCCCCACCCCCTTTGACCGGGCTAAAACTGCACTGAAAACTAGGGTTTGCCCCGGGCAACTCTTGAGACCATTGCTTGTTGCTGCCCTGGCCTGACCTAGCACTTCCTTCCAGCATTTGCTTAGCCCTCCCAACCATGGCATCCACTGCACAGTACAGGAAACTCAGGCAGAGAGGCCCAGTCACAAAGGTAGGGGTAGTGGAGTCTCTCAGTCCAGAGCCCAGCTCTAACCTCTAGCCCAGGTTCCCTCCCCAGTCTCCCCTTCTTTTCTTTTTTTTTTTTTTCCGTACTGGGGATCGAACTCGGGACCTTGCGCTTGGAAGGCAGGGCCTGAAACCACTGAGCTAAATCCCCAGCCCCAGTCTCCCCTTCTTACCCAAGGATCCATGGGATGCTGAGGTTCCCAAAAATGTGTTTTCTGACTGGCTCAGGTGGCCCTGAGGCTGCTGCAGGAAATGTGAGGAGAGGCTGACAGGAGGAGATGGGGATGCTGAGTGAAAGGAGGCAGAGCTGCCCAAGGAGCCAGGGATGTTCACAGGTGCAGAGCTCTGCAGCAGACTGCCGCCTGCAAGAGAGGGCAGAGGGCAGCTGGGTGAGGCCAGGCAAGCCACAGGAAGCGGAGAACACCCTCCAAGCCACTCTGTCCAGCCACTGCCCAGTACCGATTGTGATGCTGCTGGGATGGGGCACTGTGCTGTTATCGAAAGTCTTCTCCAGGGCAGCCACCCCGAACTCATTCAGGTCCAGGTCATCCAAGGCAGACTCTAGACACAGAGAGATCCGGATGTGGGGCTCCTAAGGGCCACAGGTCTAGGCTCCAGGCCCTCACTCACCTTTGCCACTTCATCTCCTGCCCCCATTGCACCTTTGCTCAGGCTCTCCCTTTGCCAACACTGACCCGTGAAGCTGTCTGCCCAGTCCAGTCCAAGTATCTATCTCCGTTCTGAAGCTGCCTTTGATACCCCAGGAGGAATCAAGTTCTAATCCAATGCGTCTGACAGAGGTGTCACAGGGTATGTGTCTCACTCAGAGCTCGCTGGGGGTGGGGAGGTCTCTGGGCTCTCCGTGCACAGTACATACTGGGCACTTGACAAACGCCAATGCCCTCCCCTGAACTGGCCAGTGTTGGTGAGGTAGGAACAGATTCCGTCCCATGGGGCAAAAACCCACATCATCATCTGTATTCTCAAAGTGCCTGCCATAGGATTAGGCAAAAAGTAAGCAGTCATAAATGAGTGATAAAGGAAATGGGCACTGACATCTCGGTACTGGGAATTGAACCCAGGGCTTCCCACATGCTAAGCATGCACTGTCCCTGAGAACTACACCCCCGTCCAGGGACACTGATTTCTAATGTCCAGCATTCTTGAGGACAGCTATATAGCTTGTTCACTGCACAAGGACACCTAGTAACAGAATGAATGAGGACAGGACGCCACATATCTTGGAGTGAGACTGTAATTACATGAAAGAGTTCCTGGAGCTAATCTTGACTTTACACTTTGACTTTATTTTCTCCTTAATTTTTAAACTTTTTACTGGTATTAGGGATTGCATCCCAGCCTCCTGCACCGGGCTACATCCTCAAACCCCACCTTCTTGGTGTTGTTTGAGACTAAGTCACCCAATTACTGAGGCTGGGCTTGAATTTGTAATCCTCCTGCCTCAGCCTCCCAAAGTTCTAGGGTTACAGACATGTGCCACCACACCCATTTAGTTGTTTTATTGTTTATTTTCTTCATTTATCGAAGTACTGGGGGTTGAGGCTAAGGGCTTTATGAATAAGTTACATCCGCATCCGTTTTTAGAGAGAGGGTCTTCTAGTGTGGTATAGTGGCACACTCCTATAATCCCAGCACTCTAAGAGACTGAGGCAGGAGGATCTTGAGTTTGAAACCAGCCCAGGCTACATAGTAAGACCTTGTTTCAAAAAACAAAACAAAAAAGATGAGGCAGGATCTCGATAAATTGCTCAGAGACAAGATCTCAAACTTGCAATTCTCATGCCTCAGCCTCCTATGGAGCTGGGAGATTCCAGATGTGCAACTCACTCATTCCCCTGTAGCTCAAAGAGCCCAGAGTGCCCACCTTGACATTCCTAGACCAGTTCTCTAAGGAACTGACACACTGATCTGCATCTACCTCAGACCTGGTGTCCCCACCTCCAGGCCCAATCTGGGCTCACACACAGCCAGCTTGTTTACCTATGACCGACTCTACCGTGTCGCTGGTAGGATAGAAGGGCAGAGCATTTGCATTCATGCCGGGGGTGCTGCTGGTGCCCGCAGGGCTGGGGGGAGTAGCTGCCAGGCTGGAGGTGATACTGGAAGAGATGCTTGAGGTCAGGGGGCTGCCCACAGGGAGGATGCCCAGCACGTCCTGCAACGAGAGTTAGGAAAGGCAATGGGCGGCCTGCCTGTGGGACCATGGCTGGAGGCTGGGAAAGGAGCTGATGAAGACCAGAGGTGGGGATTAGGCCACTGCCCCAGCCCGGAGACTCAGGCAGCCACACCCCCACACCTGTGGAGAGGCTGGAAGTGGAAGTAACTTGGACTTGCTAATGCAGTGGAGACAGGACGGAGTGTGGCTTAGTGTGATGCTCCCTAAACACCGCTGACTGAGGGTGAGTGAGAAGGGATGGGCTACAGGGCCTAATTCCCAACCTGGATCTGGGCCGGGGCCCACCTCAGTCTAGTCCCTAGATTGCGGGCAGAGTGATGCCTGCTGGGGTTCTGGGCCTGTCTTGTCCATGACAGATACCAGGACAGAAGCAGGGAATCAAAAACACTGTACCTGTTTGGGTTGAAGCAGAGGTTGCTCTTGACTCCTGGACTCTAGTGAGTGGGGTTTTAATTTGGCCTGAGAGAGAAAAGTTAGGAAGGAGGTGAATGTGGTGCTGGGAATCCAGGAGTCCACTGGCCCTGCCATGAACCATTGAGGCTGAGGGACCAGGAAGCAAGTGGCGGCACTGTCATGTCAGGAAATGCCCCACCCCATGTTACTCCTTCCTCTACTCTAAGCAGGGAGCTCCCCCTCTCCTCCCAGGTAACTCTACACCTCAGAGAGCCCCAGGCTTCTCTCTAGGCTCAGTTAGGGACTGCTCTGACCTGCTCCTCCAGGCCCTGGCATCCCATCAAGGCAACAGAGGGCAGACAAAGAACTGTACCCTGGTCACTCTGGTAGGAATGCTGCTTTGCTACTGACTGGCTCCGTGGGCTTGGGGAAGCTATGCAGTCCCTTGAGCCTTTCTGTCCTCAGCTGGAAAACAGGGCAACATTACTCACTGCTCAGTCCTACAGAGGCTGAGGACAAGGAGTCCTAGCTCCCAGCCTCTGTCCAGAGCAGGACCAGGCCTCTCCTCCAGGCTCCTCTCACCCTATGCAGAAGGGGAAGCTCACTGGGCTTAAGCATTCTCTGATGCCCTGTTCAACCCTTACCTGGCATTTAAAATTTTTCAGGTACTCAGCTCCCACCTGGTCTTCCCTCTCAAAGCCAGGAGCTTTCTTATAGCTGCCAGGGGCAAGGCTGGATTCCCCAGGGAAGATCAGGCCCTCCAGGTTTGGCGGTTTCCGGCTGGGGCCTGGTGGGGAGCCACAGAGGTTGGATGGGCTGCCCAGGCTGCTGCTCCTGCAGAGGAGCTGCAGGGAAGGACAGGACCTGGTAAGCATGACACAGGCTGGGACCTGACCCACTTCCATCCCTGCCTCAAAGACAGTCTTCAAAAAGGGGCTTGGTTCCATCTTCAAATACCAATGAGTAGCAACAAGCACCCTGAGCCTCTGAGAGTTTGGCAGGGAGGTGTGACAGAAGGCTTTGTCCCAGGACGATCAACACAGGACCTGAAGATACAACCCTGCCCCCACTATGACAAAGAAGATCCCTGGAGCAGGAAAGGCTAAACCCTTTAGCTTGAGGACAAATACCAGGGCTCCTCCCCAAGCACAGGCTGAGGGGTTAGGGGAGCACCCACTCCCCAGGACAGGCACGTACGGCGCTGAGGTCGGGGGCATGCGGGCTGGAGGGGCTCACAGGCACCGAGTCTCCGGCAGCAGATGGCATGTACAAGACGGGACCTGGCTGGGTGGGGCTGGATACAGCTGAGGAAGGCTGCAGGTCGTCACTTAGGGGTGGCTCTGCAAGAGGGGGGCAGGGGTCAGCAGGCTCTTCAGCCAGCTGAGTGCCTCCAAAAGTGCTCCTAGCTATGTTCCAAAGGAGACCATGTATGCCTGGTACTTAAAAAGAAGGTTCCCACATCATTTCAATGGATGCTGTGTGCTCTGCACTTCCTACGTGCCAGCACCTTGCATAAATTGTGAATCTCCACAGTGATGAAAAAATACATATAATATCATGGTCTCCATTTTATTCTTATTTACTTTTCTGTGGTACTGGGGATTGAATCCAGAGCCTTCTAAGCTACATCCCCCTGGGATGTAGCCCTTAAAAAAATGTAGCCCTTAAGAAAAAAAAATTTTTTTTTTTGGTACTAGAGATTGAAGCCGGGACATTTTCTTTTTGCAAGGCAAGTGCTGGAACAACTGAGCTAAATCCCCAGCCCAGGCCTTAAAAAATTTTGAGATTGAGTTTCACAAAGTTGCTAAATTGCCCAGGCAAGGCTCAAACTTGCAATCCTCCTGCCTCAGGCTTTCAGAGTGCTATGGTCTCCATTTTATAGATAAGAAAAATAGTTCAGAAAAGCCAGTTAAATCTACCAAGGTTGGCTGGGCTTGGTGGCACACACCTGTAATCCCAGCACTCAGGAGACTGAGCCAGGAGGTTCACCATGAGTTTGAGGCCACCTTGAAGTACACAGAAAGACCCTGTCTCAAAAAAACAAAAACAATATAAAAAAAAAATACAAAAAACCAAAAACTACTGAAGTGACAGAACTAGGAGACAGAAGAGATGAGACTTGAACCTGGCTTTGTATAACTCCACAGCCTGAGCTTTGAATCACTGCTCTGCACTATCTCAATCAGGTGGTCCTAGTGTCTACTGCAGGGGACTGATTTCCTCTGCACCCTGAATACACTTCTTATGCCAAGGGCCCTTGGTTTATTCTTCACCCTAATCTCAGAGACAGGGCTAAGCCTGGAAACAGGTTAAGGCAGTCAGTGCAGTGGCCTAGAGCAGGACAGATGTCTACCCCAGCTCCCCCTAAGACTGAGGTGTTGGGTTGGAGTGTGACACTGAACATCTAGAACTGTGCTGTACCAGTGGCTACTGAGCACTTGAAATGGGCTGGTCAGAGTGTTAATGTGCTGGGGGTGTTACAATACATATCAGATCTCTGAGACTTAGTATAAAAAAAGGTAAAATATGGGCCGGGGGATTTAGCTCAGTGGTTTCGCCGCCTGCTGCGCAAGCGCAAGGACCCAAGTTCGATCCCCAGTACCAAAATAAATAAATAAATAAATAAAAAAAGATAAATCAATTTAAAAAAAAAAAAAGGTAAAATATCTTAGCTGGGGGCAGTGATACACACCTATAATCCCAGCAACTGGGAGGCTGAGGCAGGAGGATCACCATGAGTTGAAGGTCAGCCTGGGCTGTAAGTTCAAGGGTAGCCTGAACTACCTAGTGAGACCATGTCTCAAAAAAACAAAAAAAAAGGGTAAAATATCTTGATAATTTTTATAATTATAGAAGTGGTAGCATCTAATATTGGGCTAAATAAAAATGTCATTAAAATTAACCTGCCAGATGTGGTTTTGCATGTCTACAATTTCAGCACTTGGGAGGATGAGGCAGGAGGATTGTTGCGAGTGAGGCCAGCCTGAATGACACAGCAAGACCAAAAAACCAAAAACCAAAACAACAACAAAAATCCCAAACCAAACCAATAAAATTAACCTGCTTCTTTTGGTTTTTTTAGTTTCTCTCTCCCTCTTTCTCTTTCTCTCAGACAGGGTTTCTCTATGTAGTTCAGGCTGGCCTTGAACTCACTGTGTAACCCAGCCTGGCCACAATCTCAGCATTCCTCCTGCCTCAGCCTCCTCAGTGCTGAGATTATAGGTGTGCGCCACCACGTCCAGCCTTTTTTTTTTTTAATATGTTACTAGAAACTTTAAAATGATATTTAGGGGGGCCGGGATTTAGTTCATTGGTCCTGCCACCTGCCTTGCAAGCTCAAGGTCCTGAGTTCGATCCCTGGTACCAGGGATAAAATAAATAAAATAAAATGATATATAGGGACTGCATTTTATTTATTTCTCTATTTATGAAAAAGCTTCAATCAGAAAGTAAAAGAAAATGGTAAGAGACTATAGCTTGGGGAGCTGACAAATACCCGGCAGGCCCTTAAAAGAGGAAGATAAGAAAAATAGCAAAGGACTCCAGCTTGAGCAGCTGGAGGGAGCACACACTGAAGAGGATCAGACGAGCTCCCGCATTTCATTTACACTGGAAAGCTCTACTCTAGAGGCCTGAGCAGAGCGCAGCAGGGAAGAGTTCTGTGTTGCAGTAGTGATGCCTGCCACTGGCGACATGGGGTGGCTGGTGGGATCTGCCATGTTGACTATGGGAGGCACAGTGCTGCACCTTGCCTGGAACCTCGAGTCCCTAACCAGGAGGACAGTCCCCGCAGTCTCTATCTCATGATCTTGGAAACTCCAGGGCATCAAGTCCTGGTAGTTAAATTCACCACTTTCAGAGAGGCAAAGAGAATGGACTTCCAGCTAGACATGGCCCACTACTAGCAGACAAGGACCCCCATGTGTGGTGTGCTGCTAGGGGCCATTCCCCTGCTTGAGTCTCAGCAGAGGGTTAAGGAAGAAAAGTGTACTGCCCCAGGGCAGTAAGAACAGCTTACGTTCTACGTGGGCAAAGGCGCAGAAAGGTCCTCGGGGACAGCTGCCTGACTGTTGCATGTCGTTGCACTTGGTGGATTTGTAGATCTGGAAGGGGCAGACAGAGCAGAGCAGAGACGGTCAGGCTCAGCTGTGTGAGTGACAGGCTCCTCTTCCTTTATCAAAGGTGAGCTGGCCTTCCTCCCCGCTCCACACCTTCTACTGCAATCCTCTAAGTCTCTGTCAACCCACCTCCAAAATTTTTTTTTTTTTTCCAGTGCTGGGATCAAACCTCAGGGCCACATTCATGCTAGGCAAGTGCTCTACCACTGAGTTACACCCCAGCCCCCTACCATTCTGTTACTCAAACTCCTGAGGAAGTTCTCTACCACTTCCACCAATGCCCTCCATTCTGGGTTCACAGATCCAACCAGCCCGCACCAAGGGGTCTGCTCTGCTGACAGCCCTGCCAGGGGCTCTGCCTCCAGTGTGCTTTCTAGGCATTCAGCCAGCCAAGCTCCCAAGCAGCACATAGCTGCCCTCAACCCAGCCCGCCAGATCTCAGGTTGGGAACTGTATTGGGTTGAACTTTCCACCTGCTGTCTGCAGCTACATGAGACTGTCCCTATCTGTTTCTTTCAAGGGTCCTCCTGGATTCCACAGAACCAGGGACTGAGGCAGCATATGCCTCTTTGCATACTGTACAAGACATAGGCTCCGAGGACAGGACAGAAGGGGCCTTATTTTTAAAATTCTGGTACTGGGCTGGGGATGTAGTTCAGTAGCACAGCGCTTACCTACCGTGTGTGGAGGCCCTGGGTTTGATCCCTTGCACACACACAAAAAAACTAACCCTGATGTCTCTGGATTTTAAGCACCCTGTCAGGCAGCTTAGGGAACTAACTAGAAGCAGAGGGCTGTCAGGGAAAAGTGGGTTCAGAAAGAGGCTGCACACTGAGGAGTACAGGGCACCTCCAGGCACTCTCCAGAAATCTCTCCAGGATGCCAACATCTGCCCTTACACTCCTTGCTTCCTAAAGGGGATATGTTAGCCCCCCAGCCCCCCCAAGGAAGCCAGCCCCCACTCTAAGAGCCCACCTCTGGATGGAACTGCTGCTCCGTGCGGGTGTGGCAATATTGGCAGGCATCTCCATTCTCACATTTGCCAGGGTCTCCCCACTCATCCCCATGTTTGACATTTGGACATGGAGTCGACCTGGTCCAAAGAGGGCAGGGAACAGTCAGTTGGAGGCAAGAGAGGGTGACATCAGGGACTACAGGGTACTACCTGGATCTCTTCTCAGGGCCCCTCTCTGGTCTTCCCACCTCACAGGCCCAGGCACTGAAATATAAAAGACTAGCTACAGAGTGAGGATCTCACTGCAGCCAGAGCTGTGTTGTTTCTCTGGCCCAGCCTGGCTGCATAACCACGGAAGACATTGTTTTGCTCCCCTCAGCCATGCAATGAGCCCATGCCAGCCCATGAAGAGACAGGCATAGCCACAACTACACTTTCCACAACACAACCTGGCCCTACTTTAGTACATGCCCTATAGGATCAGAGCTGAATAGGCCTCTGAGTCTGTCTGGTCAGGTCCTCATTCATGCAGGAACTGGACCATGCTCCTGCCGTTCAGCCATCCTTACTGGTCCCTCCCTTTGCACCCGGGACCTGTGACCCCATAGTCCCCAGGGTTGGCATGCCCGCCTCCCTGAGAGCCACGGTGGGAGCAGCCTTAGCCATGATCCCTTCCCTGCCATTCCTCCCTCCCATGACTGGTCTCCTGGTGCCAAAGGACCTGTATTTGTGCTTCCGGGGGCTCCGCCGTCGGTCCTTGCTGTTGTGGTAGTAGGGACAGGCATAGCCCTGGCGGCACAGCCGAGGGGGCTTCTTGCACGGCTCCGTCTTATAGTTCCCCAGCACATAAGCAGTTTCTGCACAGGGGGCCAGAGGGCATGGGTCAGGGAGTGGAAGTGGAGCACCCCAAGACCAGTAGTAGAGTGAACAGAAGGCAAGGAGAAGCCACTGGGAAGGGGTTCTGGAGTTGACGTTCCCATGAGAGACATGAGGAGGGCCATTTCCTCACAGGCCATGGGCATGCTAGGGAGGCCAAAGCTACAGCTGAGAGCCCAGGGCAGGATGCTGGCCATCGCTGGAGATACTTACAGTTCTCAGGGCTGAAAGGGCACCATGAGAGTGGAGAACACATGCATATATACTCATATAAATGCACAAGTGTGCACATGCTAAAGGTGGAGGGATCTTCGGAATACAGTGTATCTTGGAAAACTTCCCTACAAGTGCCTTTAGAATGGTATAAAGTGAGATGAGGGGCTGGGTGCCTCCCAGCTGGTGGCTTCAGTTGGAGAAAGCAGTAGATGGTTGTGAACCAATTCCTTAGGGCAGTTATGGGCAAGAGGGGAGAGGGCAAACATCTGACTAGAGGAGGCATTTTTGTGGCCACTTGTACCTTGCCACCGAGGCTCCTCACTGAGGATTTTTTCTATCATGGCATGGCTCGCAGCCCCAGCCGACTGGCCCTCTATGCTGCCCTCCACTGTGGTCTGGCCATTCTGTAAGGCTTCCATGGCCTGGAGTTCCCTGCAAGGAGAGGATAGGACAGAGGGTGGGGAGGAGGCATGAGAGAGCAGAATCGGAGTGCCATCCTTTGTTGCAGCTATCAGCAGCAGCCTCCAGGCCCCTGCCCCTGCCCAGCACCCAGCCCACCTGATGTCGTAGACAGGGGAACGGAGGTCATGGGGTCCGTGAGCAAAAGCGCAGTGCAGGCCGTTTTTGGTACAGTTGCCTTTTGAGTCAGTCTCGTGGATGCAGATTCCAGTTTTATAGTAACGAAGGTGGTACCTGCGCTCAGTGTCCCCTGTGGTCCTGTGCAGAAATGGGCACCTGCAACATGGCAGTGGGGATCACTCAACACTGCCCCCTGCAGTCTGGGGGCAACCCTGCCCTTCACCAGCTGTTGATGGGTTGTCACCATGACCTTGAGGATACAGTGACAGTGATTGAGGAAGGCAGTGACAAGGCCCCCTGGCCACCATGGCTTTGCCCTGGCATGCTGTGGCCCACAGGGCCTGACATTCTTGGACTACCTGCAGGGATGCTCCAGAGGAGCATCTGGGTGGGACAAATTCTGCCTGGATTAGAGGTCCTCAGAGAAACAATCAACTCCCACCAAACTTTAACAAAGCTCCTCATGCGCAAAGTGCTTCAACAGGCCAGGGGGAGGGATAAGCAAGCCTCTGATCTCTGTGAGAAAGAGGACCTGGTGCAGGAAGGGTTCGGCACACTATACCTCCACAGTGCCTCTTATCACCCCCCTACAAGGTTGAAACAAATGACAAGCAGGGCTAATGAATGTTTCCTCTCAGAGATGATGTCAGGTTTGCCACCACTGTTGTAACTTTTCTCTATAGAGATTTGCAGAAGAAAACTTAGAATCAGCAAATGAGGGAACTGGTGAGGCTCAGTCTATTTAAACTAGTGGGCCCCAACCTTTTGTGGCAATAGGGACGACCAGTTTTGCAGAAGACAATTTTTCTACAGACAGCTGTATGCATGTGGTAAAGTACTGTTTTTTGTTTTTTTAGTGTATGTTTGAGATACATAATAATTACGTTCCTCAGAGTTAGCATTACCACCTCAGGTCCACTTCAGGTCATCAGACATTAGATTCTCATAAGGAGCGCCCAACCTGCATCCCTTGCCTGTGCAGTCTAAAGAAGGATTCGTGTTCCTGTGGGAATCTAATGCCACCGCTGATCTGACAGAACGCAGAGCGGAGGCACTAATGTGAGTGATGGAGAGGGGTGGTAAATACAGACAAAGCTTTGCTTTCTCACCTGCTCATCACCTTTCAGGGAGACACTCTGGTTTATATTTGGTCTCTTAGCAGAACTAAGGCCTGTTTTGTTTCCTTAAAGTAGGGAAAGAAAAACAGATCCCCCCTCCGCCACATATACACATATAAGGCTACATCTTCAAGATGGTGAGGTTTGAGCCAATAGGAAGGTGGGTTGGGTTGCAGCCAGTCCTCCCCAAAGCACCCTCTGGCTTGCTTCCTGGAGCCTGCCTGACCCAGGAGACTGGGACTCCTGAGGGCAGGATGGGCACTCACTCGTCTCCCTCCGGGCACAGGCCTGTAGCCTCATCGTACTTGGTGCAGTAGACGTCAGGACTGTAGTTGAAGGTGCCGTCCCGACGGCGGATGGACCGGCGGCGCCGCTGGTTCACAAAGTGCCAGTGGAAGCAGGTGTAGGGCCGATGCTGTGTGCATTTGTGTTGCACAAAGAGTGGGCACTGTTCTGTGCGGAACTCTTTCAGGTACCTGCAGAGAGAGCCCATGTGGGGCAGGCCAAGAGTGGAGAGTAAAGCCCCTTGCTTCTCAGCATGAAGTTAGCCACCAAGTCCCCTGAGGGCCCTGCTTTGGGGTACCAGTTTCACTGTGACACCAGAAGAGGTCCAGGGCTAAGGTTGGACCTCAGCATTCACACTTGTCCCAATATCTATGTCCAAGCTAGCCTGGAAGGCAGGAGCTATGGCTTCAAGGGCCTTCAGCAGTCAGCTGTCTGCCATGGTGGCCAGCTGTGGAGCCTCAAGGCTTCCCAGGCCAAACTACTCATCACAGGAAGACAGCTATGCACACGAGTAGCATCTCCCAAGCTTTCTGCAGGTCACTGGTGCCCACATCCACTTGGTGATTCTTGGAAGCCTCCATTGTACCATGAGCAGGGATGGAACTGAGGGCCAAGGGGAGAAATCTGCTGACAAGCACTTAAGGGAGATGTTGCTTCCAGGCTGAAAGCCCAGCTCTCCGGTACACAATTGACTCTCACTGTTCCAGAGACATCTGCTAGTACTTACTACCTGGGCAGCTGTTTGGGAATGCATGCAGAGACCCCTCCCTCTGCGCCTAGCCCAGTGGTGACCAACCTACAGCACGTGTGCCGCAGTGGGCTGTTTGTATCACTGAAAGCTCTAGAAGGTTCACCATCGCTAGCCTAGACTGTCTCTAGCAGTCTCATAAAAGAGGACCTGCAGGGGCTGGGGATTTAGCTCAGTGGTTCTGCCGCCTGCCCTGCAAGTGCAAGGATCGAGTTCGATCCCCGGTACCAAAAAAAAAAAAAAAGAGGACCTGCAGCAGGTGGGAGATATCTATCCTGAGGAGTTGACAGATGTCTGTGTGCTGTCCATGTCTCTCTCCTTTGTCCTGTATGTAATAATCAATATCCTCTAATATCCCCTAATATCCTCTCCCACACAGCACCAGTGGAGGGGCCCAAGCCCATTGACTCCCTTACAGAACATATTGTCCTTCTGTGTCCAGGTTAGAGCTCTCTCACATTGGGGGGCCCTGTCAGGAGGATGGGTAATCACTGCAATTATTTTTATTTTCCCAAGCCTAACACTGGAAGCAACAAATGGCTATAGACTGGGTATTTTGGTGCCAGTAAGGATGGTTGCAGAAGGCTCAGAAGTTATATGCAGAAGGAAGTGTGGCAGAGGCAGCCTAATCTGAACTGCCTAGGCTCAGAGCACAGCCTGGATCTGATCGGCAAGGAACAAAGACTCCTGCCCACATCCCTTCGGCCTTACTACTCTAGCCACAAGGGCAGGGGGGCAGGCCCAAGGCTAGGGCAAATCCAATACACTTTCTCTATTGATAATGAAAAGTACTAAAAAATCTGTCCAGTCTTGAAGTGTGGTGAAGTGTCTGGGTGTGTGGGGAGGGGATGGGGGAGTACAAGATGCTCCCTAAGGAGTGCAAATGGAGTTAAGGGGCAGTGAAGCCTCCAATCAGAGCTTTGCTGTTTGTTCAGCCCACCCCCTTTCAATACTGGGAATTGAACTCAGGCGTACTTTACCACTGAGGTACATCCCCAGCCCTCACTTTTTATTAAGACAAGATCTCATTAAGTTGCTCAGGCTACACTCAAACTTGTGAAACTCCTGCCTCAGCCTGAGTAGCTGGGATTAGAGGAATGTGCCACCATTCCCAGCATTTATCCACCATATATTTATTGAATAATGGTACAGTGCTAACCAATGGTGACCCTGAAGAAGGAGTAGATCATTGTCCTTAGAAAGCTCACATTTTCATGAAAGACACACATAAGTAACAGGTGGACTTAACCACAGGTGGAAAGAGTTATGAAGAGGTTTGCTTCAGGATACCTTAGAAACCCAAAAGAAGGATCCTTGACCCAAGCTGGGACAGAAGAGGTAAGGAAGAGATACCAGTGAATGAAGAGTTTAAGAAAGGGTGTTTTAGACAAAGGAAACAGTACAGGCTCAGAAACAAAGACTGTCTGGTGCTAAGAGGTCTTTGGGTTTGTTTTCAGCTTTGAGTTGTGGCTGATGTTCATTTTTCTGTTTATCTCTTGGGTTTTTGTTTTTGTTTTTTCCAGAACCAGGGATGGAACTCAACCTTGTGCATACCAGGGTGGCGCGGCACCACTGAGCTAAATCCCCAGCCCTCATCTCTTGTTTTGATATGAGACTTACACCAGTAATAAAAGATAAATAAAATATTATGGAATGCTAAACCAAGAGGCACAGGAAACTAAGCACAACACAATGCCCCAAGAGGGCCAAGCAGAATCTGTGTTGCCACTATTCTCTACTACAGTTGTACTGCACAACCTCAGATGTCAGGTTCAAATAAAGCTTTATTTATGGTTTCTGTGAAGTCATATAATGTTCCTGTTATGAAATATAACCACTAAAAAAATGTAATACCAAATTCCAGGAAGATGACAGTGAACAGCAGAGAACAGCAAAGAAACAGTCTCTCCAAGATTTGGTGTCCAGACACTAAAATATAGCAACGTGGAGAAGAGAAGGAGGGAAGTGGGTCCCTGGGACCCAGCAAGGATCTGAACTGAGAAATGAAGCCGACAGGGAGAGTAAAAACAGAGATCTCAACACAGAAGGAGGTGGCAAGTAGCACTTTCTCCCTGAGCCCTGATTCGCGGTGTGGGAGGGGTGACTCAAATCTGCAGACACATGGTGACTACTGGTAACCCCAGAGGCCTCCACAGAGAAATGTACCAGTAGAATGGAGCAGGGGATGCAGTGGAGTGCAGCGAGTTATTCAGATTCAGACCTCCCCCAGAAGAAGGTGACTGGTTGTTCACCATCTTGGAGAGGGGCCAACTGAGCTCAGAATTCAGAGCAGCTGCAGGCTGGCTCCATCTAGCAGTTCCCAGTGTCAAGGTGAGGCGGAACTGAGTTTAAGTTGGGAGGAGGTTAAGGAGCTGAATTCAAGCCAGCAGGGGCCACAGAGAGTATTGCAGCCTCAACAAATTGGGTTACAACCTCACACCCAGAAACCAGCCTGAACTTCAATGGAACTAAAGATGCAGGCTTGCTGGGATTATCTACTACACTGCCATATTTCCAAGGCTAGATTACTGGGATTAATCAACACAGATCTGGCCTCTGTTTGCTCATTCTACCAGTGACAGCAGAGAGATGCCTCAAAGTACACATTTTTTTCTTCATTTTTCTTTTCTTGCATTTTCTGTTTTTGTTTTCTTCTTTTCTTGATTGTTCTTGTTCTTGTTTTTACAGGAGTGTGAACAATGTTTCTAGTTTTTGTTGTTGTTGTTCTATTCTGTTCTGGTTTTTATTTCTTCTTTCTTTCTCTCCTGCCTTCTTCTCCAGTTTCCCAAAGTTTGAGTAATCTTCCTTTGTCCTCCAGCCTTGCTTCTAATCTTCTTCCTCTTCTTCTAATCTCTTCCTCTTCCTCTTCTTCTATGTCTGCATTTTCCCCCCAACCTCTTTTTTTTTTTGGTACCGGGGATCGAACTCTGGTCCTTGTGCTTGTGCAGCAGGCAATGAAACCATTGAACTAAATCCTCAGACACCCCCAACCTCTTTTAAATTTTCTCTCCTGAGGGTAAAATCACCATACAGAGGGCATACTTACTATATACAATTTCCTGGTTTGTTTTAGATTTTGTTATGTAACTACAAATCTAATTCATACAGTTAAAGGTGGCAAAATAATAGTTACCACAGTTTGTCATTTCCTATTGTATTGCATTGTATTGTATTACTTTATGTATTACTTTAGCCAAAATGAAATGAAAGCTGGGAATGAAATTATTTCAAGCCCTAAAAGAAAACAACGTCTAACCCAGATTTCTGTACCTGGCAAAACTATCTTCAAAATTGATGGAGAAATAAGATACTTCCATGACAAAGAACACCTGAAAAAATTCATGACTATCAAACCAGCACTCCAAAATGTTCTGAAGGACATTCTAGAAAGAGATAACAAGGACTACAACTCCATGAACCCCAACAGAATGAATCCACCATGCAAGCAAGCAATTAAACAGAGGAGGAAAAAAAGGGAACCAATAATAGGAAAATAACATGACAAGAATAAGTCAATATATTATCAGTTATAATCATCAATGTTAATGGTCTCAATTCACCAATCAAAAGAAATAGACTGGCAGAATGGATCAAGAAGCAAGACACGGGCCAGGGATTTAACTCAGTAGTTTTGCCACCTGGTGCACAAGCGCAAGGATCCGAGTTCGATCCCTGGTACCAAAAAAAGAAGCAAGGAGCCAGGGATTTAGCTCAGTGGTTCCGCCGCCTGTCTTGCAAGCACAAGGTCCCGAGTTCGATCCCTGGTACCAAAAAAACCCCCAACAAAAATAAATAAATAAAAATAAAGAGAGTAAAGTTAACAAAGGCCAGGACATAGGGACATGAGGAGTTGTTTAAAAAAAAAAAAAAAAAA